AGCGAGTCGCAGGCGTCGCCGGTGCATGCGGTGTATCTTGCGGTGCTTCTTGGGGTGTTTCTTGAGGCGCTGGCGTCATTCGAGATTCCTGCGGTGCTTCTTGCGGTGCTTCTTGCGGTGCTTCTTGCGGTGCTTCTTGCGGTGCTTCTTGCGGTGCTTCTTGCGGCGTCGGCGTCGCTCGAGACTCCAGATTCGGTCTTGAGCTCGAAGCTGCTTTCGATTTTGGAGCGGCTCGCTTCCTTGGCGTTGCCTGCTCCTCTGGCAAAGGCTGGTTCTGGTTCTCCAACAAAACGGATTGCGACCTTCTGGTCGTCCTCTTTTTAGGAGGACTCTGGATATCGCCGGATGATGCATTGCTTGCCAGCGAGCTCCGCGATGTCAAGCTCCTCCGCTTCGTCGGCGACGGCCGCGATGGCACGGTTGCCGTTGATGTGCTGGTGTCGACATGAGAGCCATCGGCTGATTCCAGCAGCTCGCTAGGCTCGACAGAGGCAGCCGCAGGCCGAGGCCTCTTAGGCCGGCCGCGGCTCCTCGTCGAAGTCGTGGTGACATCAGCCTGGGAGATCTCGTCAGCGGCCAATATGTCGCTGGCATCAGCTGTCACGGACGGCGTCGGCGCCTTCTTTGGGCGTCCACGTCGAGGCGCAGCGGCGGGAGCTGCAGCTGAAGCCGAAGCTGAAGCCGACGCAGATGCTGGAGCTGCCCTGCGCGTGGTCCTGGTCTGCTTGACGGCTGGCCGTGGTTCCTCGTACGACGATTCGCTCTTGATGTCGGGACTCGTGGAGGAGAGGGAGATTTCGTCCTCGTCGTCGGACTGGACAATGCGCCGGACGCGACGCGACCGCCCTGCAGCAGAAGCCATGATTGCTGTTTTGTTCGATGGTGGGCTGTCGCTCACAAGCCCAAGGGGGAGGAGAGATTGGCGCTGCAGGTGAGGCTCAGATGGCAGCCAGAGGAATCGAATTTCAAACAATCAGCAAGATGGGCGCTCTGCCGGACGCCGTCAGTGTCGTTCACGATGCTGCTGCTGGTCGAGGCTGCATTTGACCGTGATTCCGATGCTGTTGGACCCCGCGCTTCTGGCCGTGAGTTTGTTTGGAAATGTCCAAATGCGTGCCCGTGGTTTGTAAACAATGGCGGCCTGGTACGTACCCTCGTGCCTCCACCACCGACAGCCTCAAGGCTTTAGCGCTGAAGCCACTGGACGAGAGCCCTGAGCCAAAACGTGGTGGGGTCACTGGTGGAGGGTGGATGAGGTGCCTCGAGCTTGGGAACGGCTGCACGTGACGGCGCGACAGGCATTGGATCATGCACCATCAGAGGCGCTAGTGCTGTTTGTAGTCCAGTAGTATTAACTTGCAAGCAGCAGAACTGATCAGAGCTTCACTTTGTCTCTGGAGACGGCATTGACCGACAAGAAGCGATCCTTCATTTCCTCAGTCCGTCCCCCTTCTCCAATCAGTAGCCGCCAAGATGCTCGAGTATACCGACTTCCAGAAAGTGTTCCCGCCCGGGGCCCAGATGCCCTACGACCGCAAACGCATCCACGAAATCGAGGCGCGTCGCAAAGAGCTGGGCGGGCAGCTCTTCATCGATCGTGTGCTGAAGGCGCTGGGCATCACCAAGAGTCAGTCTGGACGTCATGGCCTATCCGTCACTGGAACTAACCGCCGCTTGATCCAGACAAGGTGTATCCTCCAAAGAACGACAATGGGGTTCGACAGCTCCACCAGCAGATCTGCGAAAGCAGCATGTCCATGCACCACAAGCTGTCGCTCCTCTACTATATACTGCTCGACTTCGATACGGTCGATGGCCAGGTCTCAATATCAGAAACGTTTGCGTCTACCTCCAGCATGCCCCAGAACTACGAGATCTTCATGAAGGGGCTGTGGTACATGGACGGCCTCGAGTTTTCGGTTTGTGGCAGTTGAATTCGCAGAACAAGAGTATTGAGCGCTAACAGCTTGCCAGACGGCTCTGGAATACGTCGCCCATCCATCCCTGATATCCGACTTTGCGGATGATATCATCATCGCGCTTGTCGAGCATGCTGCGGACGGCGACTACGATCTTGCGCTATCTTATTACCACACGGTCCAGCCAGTCTTGAAGACCTCGAGGGCGCTGGAGCTCATCTTTGGCGCAATTGCACAAACGAATGTGACCGAGGCGCTGCTTTACTCCCGGACGTTCCCCGAGCATACTCGCGAGCAGCTCTTCCGCCAAATGGTTGCCGAAACGCTGGGCAGCAAGTCAGCTCAGGCGGATGAGTTGGCCTTTTTACCCTTTGACTCCACCGAGGAAGAGTGGTTTGAAGAGTACCTTTCAACGGGTGACGGAAGGAATCTGAAAAAGGCAAAGGATACGCTTTTGGTTCGCAAGATTGCCAGCGACCGGTTTGGGGAGATTCGCACACAGCGCACAAGCAGCCAATGGGGTCCTGTGCTTGAAGGCATCAAGCTGGGGATCGAGGGTCAACTCGAGTAGCTTTTGATCTGAGCTCTTTTGCATAGCGATGGCGTTTTTGATTGTTCTTTATTTCCAATTTCCCTACTTGATGGGTAGTGGGCATTATCCAAACGAGAGGGCCTATCTAACGGCACTTGATGAGTAGTGATTCTGAGGCTCTGAGATCTCTATCCCAATGATCCAACCAAATACATCAGATTTTTGTCTATACCATGTTCATCGTCCTTTCTCATTCCCAACCATGACTTCAACCCCATCCCCCGTCTTTACTGCGTCTTCTTGCCCGCAGACGCCGCCTTGACCTTGGCAAAGGCCCTCGCCGTCTCGCTGGCGCTCTGCCAGATGAGCATCAGAGGGATGACGATCCAGAAGAAGTTGCAGAGGAAGTAGTAGGCCCAGAAGTAGAACCTCTCGGGGCGGCAGTAGACGACGTCGAAGACGACCTCCTGGAAGGTGCAGATGGCGTAGTAGAGGATGTCGCCGTAGAGCTGGCCGAGGCTGATGATGAGCTGGAAGGGGTGGCGCAGCGGGTGGTCGGCGATGATGAAGTAGACGCAGGCGAAGGACATGGGGCCCCAGAGGACGGCGGTGACGGTCTCCATGCAGACGGTGAAGGCGTCCTGGCTCATGTAGCGCGAGTCCGAGAGGGCGTATTCCTTCCACAGCTGGCCGAAGATGTCCGTCTTGCTGGCCATGTCGAAGGCGTTGTAGGAGAAGTAGCCTGGCAGGCGAGTGTCAGTACACATATTTACAACGAATGATGTAGAGAATGAGCAAGACAAGTCATTGCTCGTCTGGAATTCCATTGTTCCGCTGGTTTTATTTGTCACTCACCCTCGAAAAACAAATGGATACAGCCGCAGAGGGCGAACCACAGCGCGACGGCCAGGTCACCGCCGCTCATCGAGGGCCGCGTCCGCTGGACGATGCCGTACGTGACGAGGAAGATGACGGCGCATCCCGCCGCGAAGATGGACACCAGCACGGGCGCCGAGAGGGTGTTTGCGACGTAGGTGGGCAGCTCAATGGCAAAGGGCGAGAAGGGGTGAAGCGGCAGGTCTGCCATGGCCTGCTTGACGGAGTCGTTCATGTTCATTGCGGGAGGGATCACAGGTGCAAATTATGAAGAGAGTTGCAAAGCAAGAGATGGAGAGAAAGAGTGAGAAAGATTGAAGAAAGCCGGGAAGAGGGGAGAGGGGTTCAATTGGCTTATATCACTCCGCCAAGGTGTTTGTGTTCTTCTATCTTGCTTGTGTAAAGAGATTTTCCATCGTAAGTGTGTGCTTCCCATCAACAACACCTGGCCGGCATGGATTGGCTGGTGTTGGTGCCAGTGTGACGGCCCCAGCAGTACGAATACGGGCTAGAGCGTGTGTCCTAGCAGCTGTGGAAAGGGGGCGGTGACGGATTCCAGTTTTTCGAGGCCCGAAATGGGGGCCGTTTTGGGGGGATTTAATTTGGCTTTGGTTTGTCTTGGACTGACTCGGTCTTTGCAATTGATCCAATGGTGAGTTGTGTTGTTCGTTTCATTAATGGGTAACTATCTGTTTGACAATGAGACCATGATAGATAGTGTTTACCTATATTGCTCTCTACCAACTATACATGATCATAAGGTACGGATAGTATCGTCTGTCAACTGAGCTCGCACAACAACCGGAGAGTTTTTGTTGAGATATAAAGTCGAGATGCGCGTAATTCGCACCCTTATTTTGTGGGGTGAAGCAATCAGGGGAAAGGAAATCTAAATCTTGTTAGTAACTGTTGATTGACGTGCTCGGATTCGTTCAGATCTGGAAATCTACGACACTCGAACAAGTCCAGGTTAGCAGCGTTTGCGTGAGCACCTGAAATACACTGAATACTACAACTCCATCAATGACGAGGATGGCTGAACATTGACGTATCATACCATCCTCAATCAAGATGGGGAATTGCAAGAAGGCACCATAGAAAAATCACCGAGCTCAAAAGGTCATGAAAAAGCTACCTCCCCAGACAAACATGTCTGCGCCCCTCTTGACGCATCACCAGTGGGGAGGAGACAGCACCCTGCTGATGAATAAGTATCTATTAGATGAGTAGTCGAATGCGGCAGGAACATGATGAACCAGTATTTCAGGATCAAATACAAATCAAATACAGAAACTATCCCTGCCTCTCTTCATTCGCTAACAAACATGTAGAATGGTATCCAAAGTAAGGAAACAAAGAAACGCAGCCCATTCAAGCCTCAAACCCCCGTTTTGCTTACATCGTACATCAAATATCAACGGAGTCCGCGGAGTCTGCCTTTCTTCGCCAAGAAACACGTGGAATGGTATCCAGAGTAAGAACAAAATGCAACCCGTCAAAGCTTCAACCCCGTCTCGCTTACACCGTACGTTTCAACGGAGCCCGCGGCGTCCCGGGAATCATACTGTCCCGCGAAACATACGAGTACGACTCGGAAGCTCCTGTTCCCGACGCAGCTCTCTCAAAAGAATCATCCTTAATACCATTAGTTCACCTTCTTTCTTCAGTTTTCATCAAGCAAATCTCGACGCATTCTGCCCCCCGTGGTCCCCTCCGTGACCATCACCGGGCAACTCCGCAGGCGCATAATAGTCCCCCATCTCATAGACCTGGGACTGCGGCTTGACGACCTTGGGGCTATCATGCGCAGCCTCAGAAACCTCGCTATTAGGAAGCTCACTCCCCAGCGGCAACTGCACCCTCCTCGACCGTCGGTAGTAGTATATGAAGCCAGCAAAGGCGAGCAGAAACGCAATTCCAAGACCTAGCCCGACGCCCAGCCCGACTTTGGCTCCGCTGGAGAGCCCTCCTGCGGAGTGTGACGCGCCGTCGTTATCCGGTGCTGAACTTGTCGATGACGACGGTGATGATGATGATGTAGGTTCTGTTGTGGAGGCGGTTGTCGAGGCAGGCAAATCGCTTGCCTGGAAGTTGAGCTGGAACATGGGCGCGTACAACATCATCGTCGTCCGCGTCGACGTCGATACTCTCACATCGGCGCCGGCAGAGTTCGTCTGGGTGACTGTGACGATATTGGGAAACGTCTCAGTGGCTGAATCGGTAAGATCGGTGCCGTCGCAGAAGGCAGTCGGGATGGATGTTGACGTCGCCGTTGCGATGCATGTGTTTCCGTTGATGTTGGCGCATGAGAAGCCCCTAATTCGAACCCAGCGTGTTAGTCAAACCTCCATTTCATATTTGCTATTCCCAAACTCGTCTTGTCTGCCCAGGAACATGATCAAATCACTGGCTTGGGGCTCTACGTACGTCGGACAGCATCCCACAGCAGTCTCAGACGACACCAGCGTAAACTGCGTATCCCACTCCGGCCTCTGCCCATAGACGGCCGTGCAAGCCGTCGTGTATCCCGCAGGGCACGCCAGGCCGGGCGAGTAGAACCCCCAGCCGACAAAGGGCCAGCTCGGGGACGCAACGCCCTTTGTGACCGGCGGCCAGCACGCCGTGTTGTCCCGCACCTGGCCGCCGCTGACGGCGTTGCAGGACTGGGCTCGGAACCCTTGGTCGCATGTCGAGCACGGCGGCATGTAGATTGAGCACGACGCGGGCGCGGTCCATGTCGTCGTCAGAGGGCCTAGCAACGTGCCCGGCTGGTTTGTGAAGGCCATGGCGAGACGCCTTTCTCCTCAGAGAGAAGCCTTGATAATGTGGATAGAGAGAGTAGTACGGAGTGAGCGGCAATAAGTAAATTAACAGGAAAGCCACCGATTCTCCAAATAAGAGGTCAAGAGAAGCACCACATCACACAGTTCTGTCACAGATTAGAGTGGTAAAATGCAACGACGGAACAGAAGCGCCAGAACAAATACTAACAGCGCGGGCCATGAACTACACAACATGACAAGCCCTCCTGCGGCTCCCATCCCACGTGTAGGCATAGCCCATTGACAAGGCCCAATGCCGCGAGATCCATATCGTTACTACCATTGCCGCCTTGAAGAGCATGAAAGCCCAGCCTCAACGCGACAAGGTCAACTCTCATAGGGCGAAGCGGCACCTTGACCCCTGGAGCTGCAGATGAGGGCGACACCACGCCAAGAAGAAGTCACCAGGAATGGCATCCTTCGGGCTACCGAGCCATTCAGCCTGCGTTGTTCCGACCTGACGACCCAATGATTGTCGACTTGCGCTGACACAGCCTGGGTTGTCCTGCAACAGTTCTCATCGTACGAAGTTCAGAGTTTAGGCAGCGGCGTAGCCATAAGACGAAGGATAGGAGGCAATACGACAACTTGTCAAGGGAGTTCACCAGTATCAAGAGCTGGGGAGTTGGGCTAGAGAGAGAGATGCATCGAATGAGGTTCCCGCAGTTAGAGATGGCAGACCAAACAGAAGATACATGTACTGAGCTTATTCCCGCCCCAGATGCGGCGCTTACAAGAGCAGCTTGTCGTCCCCACCAACAACCCCGGTGTGTGTCCCATCCAGCCAGCCTTGGGTTGAGCAACGAGCAGGGGCTGATCTTGAGTGCTGTAGCGAATGCGAGATGGAGCTCAACCATGGTTATTCTACTCCGTAAAGACCATGTAAAATCGGTCTCACCCAAATGCTGTATATCCCCGAGAAATCCATTTCGTATAATGAGCTACAGACCATAACGACCATCATCATATCAAAGCCCCTGAATTCGGCAACCTCCTCAACACATGCTCTGTGCGCAACCTCGTGCAGCCCCCCGGGTCGCCGGCGCTAAACAACCCATCTAGCGTCCTCGCTCTGCCTCTATCCTGGCGTAGTCCACGATCCTGCCATAACATCGTCCAGTAATCAAGCAAGAGGTTGCATCTGAACCTGTCCTCGCTCAGCCCCCAACGAGTCCCCCGTTTGTACACGTACGGGTGGTACTAACTCGCCTGTATAGAATCCAACCCTTTAGGCTCGGCAAGCTATGTATTCGCTTGACTCTGAGTGGTTAGAGGTCATCTTTCTTTGGCGCTTAACAGACGACGAGCCAACAGTTTGCGCGACTCGATTCATTGATCGATTCCAGAGTTCCGACCCCAAGCAGCTTCCAGCTTGTCATCAGCCGGACTGATACGCGGCCACACCACCTATCATCTAGGCTCGCCCTCTATGAATTCAGAGCCGCACAGCTGGCGTAGACCAATGTCACAGAAGACGAAATGGATGCTTCCATCGGCCGCCACATGTCCATCCTATACCGGCCCCCCACCTAATCGGACACGCCTAGATAGAATGTTGGCTGGTGCTGTTGTAAGCGCCGGCCGAGTACGACCCAGATCCTACGCACAAGTGCCCCATGTATCCGCAATTCCGCGGTCTCAGCCTCGTCGTCTGTGACGAGAGTCCCGTTTACATAATGCTTTCAAGGTGCCCGCCGTCGGATCTTGTGTGTGTAACTTGCGATGAGGCTCTCTCGCCATCTCCAGCCTCCGAGTCGGTCCATAGAAACCTTCAGTCTACCCATGACAGGAAGGGCAAAGGGTGGAAAGGGAGAGCGCCTCTGCTCGAGTGCTTTATCCAGTCGTAGATCATGAGACCTCACATGTTTACCTCAGTTCATATTCAACCGCATGCAACACCATTCACAGCAGGGTAGAGCAAAGTGGAAAGTTTCCGCATCAATTGTATATTTTTTTTCTAAGCATTGCCATGGTTGAGAGTAGGGTTGGGAACAAATATCCCGGCTGCGATGAGCTGCTCGATATCTCGACGGCACGATCCAGGACTGGCTGTGCAATAGTCCCTTGGCGCGCACTGAATTTACGGCAGTACACACTTCGTGGACTGAGAACATGACAAGTTCTAGCTGCCACTTGACAGCTGCGTTTCGGCCAGTACCGCTTGGTACAGGATACACATCAAACTGATGTTGGGTTTGGATATCTGATCAATCATCTGTTAGCACAATGCCGAACAAGCATTTGCAACAAAGGGATGAAGAGAAGGTGAATTATCAGGGTAAAAGTGCCTTGTCACAGGCGATATCATCAGAGCATATGGCTAAGTTGACCGTCGTGATATTTGTACATCATGTGAATGGGAAGCAAAGGAAACGGGCGGAGAAATGCTTACCTATGACATCGCACGCGACAGGCACCACGTAAGGGTTTGACATCTTGGGAGCCAGTTAGCTAGTAGCTCAGCTTTGCAAATCCATAGCGTGATGCGAATGATTGCTGATCAGTTCCGAACATTTTGTCTTCGTCGCGTGAAGCTCAGACATATGCTTGTCATTGTTTATTCGAGCTCATCACGAAAAAGCTGGGGTGCAACGGGGTTTTGCGGGCAAACTAACAGTATCACTTTCAGATGTTAGCCAAAGTCAATATACAGGCTTCAGCAGAACAATGGCAGGAGGTTGGAGCATGGATCAGGAAATGCATGAATGGTAGTTAGGTTGTTGTCCTCATCGGAAACCCGGATAGGACTCGTCATCTAAAATCATCACATGACGCTTGAATAAGACAGAAACGATCAAAAAGCTTACCTTGAGTAGACAAGAAGCGCAATGTTGCATCCTTCGATGCATGCAGTACAAATCACTAGACACTGATACCGAGAGTTAGCCCTGATATCCAGCCTCCGTTGATCCAGCTTGTGACATCGACGTGATAGAATCAGTGGGCGAGGTTTTCTAGGCCTGCCGCAAAATGGCGTGTCTTGCTCATTATAAAATCGGAGCCCAGTGCCGTTTCATCATCTAACATCGGATGGTTTGAGGAGATGTAGCATCAAAGCGGCATACCTTGTCAGGTGAATCTGTTTGTCCTGAGTTAGCCAATGCCACCAGGAATTGTGTTCAAACAAGCAAAGTTTTTCGAGAGGCAAGGGTCAGTCATAGCCTAAGAATATCATCAAAGGATAACTCAGCCGGTAATTTCCAGCGTATATTGATTGAAATTGATCATCATGTTGCGAAAGCGGAGAGAAAGGACAAAAGGGTAGCCTACCAAAAATGCATGTCGACAGCGCGACGTCGCCGGCAAAGGTCTTCAAGCTCGATACCACTTGGCATTCATCTTCTACCCAGACAGTTAGCAAAAGCGCCCAACTCGTTGCAGACAAAGAGAAACAATTGCAGCTGTCCGATCATGGTTTCAGACTGACGTGCTAAACGGTGTTTTCACTCCATGAGGTCAAAGACTCTAGTTTGCGGATTTAGGGTTTCATCAGGTAGGTGGACTGGAGGCAGGTAAAAGCAGAGAAAAATTGCAGCACACACAACTTACCATTTGAGCCCTTTGCCTGGGCAGCTTTCTGCAGAGAAATGCAGAAGCGAATTGGTGGAAGGAAGAAAAAGAGTATGGAAAAAGCTCCGGCAGAAATGTTTTCATAGCTTTTTTTTTTCTGCCGGGTGGGGCTGTGGGCGGACCCGAGCTTTTGCTAGTGTAAGCGGCGCACGTGATTCCGCGTTGCCTCGCGTCTTACGAAGGGTCCCAAAGGCGCGGCTGAAGACGTGGATGAGATTGCTGGAGTTGCTTATGAACTAATCACAAGTCTCGATAATTTACAGTCGAAGTTGAAGTTTCAAGTGATATCACTCGTTACTGATATCAAGATGCCGGAGATTGCTGAAGGAACGTAGCCGCATGTCCAACGTCAGATGAACTCTCCCACTAACATCATCCAGTTGCTCGTATCGTCCACTATCTCCGCCAGCGGCTGGTCGGAAAGACCATTGCCAACGCTGCGGCTATCGACGACAATAGTGTGTTTGGCAAGGTCGGGACCAGCGGCAAAGAAGTGGAAGCGGCTCTGAAAGGCAAAAAGGTATGAGAGCCGGTCTCCAGCTCGACATGTCCTGCATGTACTGACTCTACCAGGTCATCTCTGCCGGCTCACAGGGAAAATACTTTTGGTATGTGGAAACAAGTCATTTATGATAGTATTGCTCGCTGACCTTTGAAAAGGATAACGTTTGACAAACCACCTCATCTGGTGATGCATTTCGGCATGACCGGTAAGTACTTATACATTTACACAAACCTCCTCAACTACACATCTCACGCTCCGTATACAGGCTGGGTACACATCAACGGCGAAAGGACAGCATACGCAAACTACTACAAAAAGATGAAAGAAAGCGACATCGCCCAATGGCCCCCCAAGTTCTGGAAATTCCACCTCACCACAGACGACAAGAACGACCCCGTCCAAGTCGCCTTCACCGACGCCCGCCGATTCGGCCGCGTGCGCCTCGTCGACTGCCCCGGCGACTCCATCCGGCAACACTCCCCCCTCGTGGAGAACGGGCCCGACCCCGTCGTCGACAAGGACGTCTTCACAGAGCAGTACCTGCGCGACAAGATGAAGGGCCGCCACGTCCCCGTCAAGGCCTTCCTGCTCGACCAGGCCATGATCAGCGGCATCGGCAACTGGGTCGCCGACGAGACGCTCTACCAGGCCAAGCTCCATCCGGAGCAGTACTCGGACACTTTTTCCGACGCCGAGATCAAGAGGCTGCACGAGGCCATCCGCTACGTCTGCCAGCTGGCCGTCGACAAGCTGGGCGACTCGGACCAGTTCCCCGACCACTGGCTCTTCAAGCACCGCTGGGGAAAGGGCGACAAGGGTGCGCCGACGGAGCTGCCCAACGGAGAGAAGATCGCCTTCATCACGGTCGGCGGGAGGACGAGCTGCTATGCGCCGGGCGTGCAGAAGAAGACGGGGGCGGTTGTTTCCGGCGCGAAGGAGGAGCCTGTTGTTGACAAGGGCGGAGCCGGGAAGAAGAGCAAGGCCGTAAAGAAGGAGCCGAAAGAAGAGGATGATGAGGAAGAGGAAGAAGCGGTCGAGGAGAAGAAGCCCAAGAGATCACGGAAGCAGGCGGCGGCACCGATCAAGGAAGAGGCCGAGGAGCCGGAAGACGTGAGTCCGCCTGCTAAGAAGAGACGGGGCAAAGCAGCGGCAGAGAAACCAAAAGCTGCCCCTAAGAAAGAAGCAGTGGTTGAAGAAGGGCGTCGTCGGTCCACTAGGCTGAGGAAGTGATGGGTGTGCTGTGGCACACGTGTCCGTCAGGATGGTTCCTATGTATAGAGCGTCGTTTTTCGTATATCGTGTTTGGCAGAGCGTGGCATTCAGTCCTGTTGGAACTACTACGTATGACTCTTTTTGTCGACGATTTGATTGTAGATATTTATTTTTCTACAGAAATCTCGTGTACGCATCTATTGGGTACTATCCCAAATGACCTTTTCGTGTACCATCCATAGCCTTTGCTTCGTAAAGGAAATTAAAAAGCGCATAGCTAACTTGAGTCGCTGCTAAAAGAGACAAAAACATGCCGCAACTCGTGTGTAAAATCATAATCGTGTGCGTCGCGAAATACTCCTGGCTCCTACCAGGAAAATCAAAGTCCATCTCAATCTCCAGAATTTGAACACCAGTTCTGGGGATGCCGGTGCCAACAGCACGATATTGCCCAAGAACAACGAATAACAAATAGTATGTGACTGTATATACGACGCTTGATGAAATCTCGAGCGCTCCAGATAAATGCAGAAAGGTGTTATACCCTGGGTAGAATAACAAAAGGCTGTCTGAAACGAAGTAGCGAAACGTAGAGTTGGTATCATACGATCCGTGACTGTATGAGGAACGGGGTCGGAAGCGATTGATGTCGGCCAAAGATTCCCTGCAAAGGCCTTTGCGAAATGCCGATTCTATAACTCAGCTTGAAAGCCTACGGCGAAGTGATGTCCTGAAGGATCAGCCCACAGGGGAAGTATAGTAACAACGTTGGTGAACGAGGTCCCGTCTTTCTTGTAGTTGACAATGTGGACTCGAACTTCCTGGTTGGAACGGATGGCACGCCGCATCACTGCCACGGGCTCACTAGCCCTGGCCGGCGGCGGCATTTCGGGAGGGTTTTGCAGAAATCGACAGTTTCGACCCATAATCTCCGGGGCAGAATAGCCGGTCAGTTGGTAAAAGCCAGGGGAGGCATACACAATGGGGGCATTCGGTAAGCTGAGATCGCATAAGGTGAGAGACACGGAGCAGTCGAGAGGGCCAAGGTCGATAGATGGATTCGGTCGAGCAGCAACCCGCAACTGGAGATAGGACACTTAGAATCACGAAGCCTACAACGGCTGGAAAAAGCAACAGTTGAACAAGGATGCGAGATGTGGCTCTTACCAGTATGCCCATCACATCAAAGCCGCTAGCTGAATAGATGCCAGGATATATAATGGGGTCCGGAAGCTGTATCCAAGCCGGGGCGTTGTTGTTGTTGTTGTTGTTGTTTTCCGCCTGGCTATGGGCGGGAGGCTGTTGTGGAAACCCGTACTGTTTACACGATAAGTTATTCTCAGTTTCCGTCTGCATTTGGGCCCAGACAGCGCGGCTGAGGGCGGCTGACTTACGTTTAGAGCTTGGTCTTCCCAGGGATTCAGCTGCAACGGCAGGTCTGAAGACCCCGAAGATACCATGATTGGTGCTCCTAGCATTGGGTGGTTTGATGTCAACGCCGGCTAGGTGGCGATCTCTTGGGCCGAATGGCAAGGGTTGGGCCACTCTATGTAGTGAAGAGACCACAGCCGGGACGTTGAGAAGAACGCAGAGGATGGAGAGGTATATAGAGTGTACAGGAAAAGGGACGAGAGGTACTAAATAGCAGCATGATCGAGATGAACAAGTACTTATCCAAGATCAGGGATAGCATCTGGAGATATGCAGAAGCAAACAAAGTGGATATGGCAGCCCCAGAATCTCACGGGGGGAGGGCGAGAGCAGCAGAGCATAAGACAGAGCGGTTGCTCGGGATGAATCTGAGCGGCTCCGTGCAAAAGCAGAGGCAGAGGTAAAGCCTGACGGTCCCAGAACGGCTCCCCGCTGTCTGCTCCTGCTCCTTGCGGGCGCTGGATAGGATCTCAACAGGGCTTTCCCCCAACCTTTCGGAGACATGGACCCAAGGGGGACATTGAATCTGACGCAAGCCATGGCGCAACGTGAGTTGGCATAAGACCGCCAGATGCAGATGGCGGGCAGGGGCAGCGGAGCGGAGGCCGTGCAAAAAGCTGGAAAGGCTGGCAAAAGCTGGACATCATCGATACAGGGCAGCGATCTCTGATCGGAGCCGCGGGAGGCTCTGGCCGTCATCGAGGCCGTCTTGGTGTTGGTCCGGTGTTAGCGCACTACCTCGGGCGGCGACAGACACACGCCCGATCGTGTTAGCGGCGCAGTCCAGCCCAAGGGGTCGATACGGAACCCGCTGATTGGCTCGATGGCGGCAGATTGGGGCCGGTTGGCGATCGGATGAATTGCTGTTCGTTGAATCAAAGGCGATCTGAGAATCCCAGTCTGAGAGGCCGGTCAATGCCACATGCGGCCAGCAGGTACATTAGCTGGGGCTTTTCTTTCATGTAATCCCGGCTGCAATGACGCCTCAGTCGCGGTGTCGGAGCCTGCAGGAGAAGGGACTTGATGGATCTAGACTGTGGACATGCGATGTTGAGCCGTGGGCAGGGGCGCAGGAATGCGGCGTTGCGCCGCGGGTTTGCAAACAATCGTATGTTGGCCGGTTCTCCGCTGGGGGACATTGCCCACGCAGCACTAGACTTTGAAGACAGCTGGTGGTGTTGTTGACTTGTGCTACCTTTCCGCACTGAGCAGCTTGTCATACCCGGCCGTATTCCGATGATTCGTCGATCTGTCTCCGGCATCCGGCAAGGGAGGCAGAGCAGACAGAACAGAGCAGAACAGGCTTCTGCTGGGCAGCAGACATATCTTCATGGCAGGTCCATTTGCAGTATTCTGCTCCATTACCTGCTAGCACATGTGATGCTGAAGGATTCCAAAGACTCCCGCACGTTCCCTGCGGTGATGGTGGCTGGCGTCAAGTCATACGCAGCTAGAAAAGTAGAGAAGGAAGCTTGCAGCATCGAGATCCAAGTACCTGGTCGAGACAAGGCATGGGATGCCGCAGAGCACACGGAGTGCCGCTCCGTTGGCTGTCTCCCAACGTCTGTGCAATTCAATTGTCCGTGTCTAGCCCGCAGGGGTCTGACTGGGCAGCAGAGCGTCCGTTTGGCGCCGTGGCGGACAAACAACATTGCATCTGGCCTAGGACATTGTCACCGAGGCTTGCCAAGCAGCGGGATGGGCTCATTGAGGCTTGCAGCATCGGCGCCCAGCTGCATCTCCTGTCACCTCGACCTGATCGGAGCAACGTCAGCTGCCTGTGTATGTCTCAGTCGGCTCAGAAGTGCGCAGTAATACATGTACAGGTGTCTATTGATGGCCATGGAGTAGCACGAAGCCGACATCGCCGTGCAAGTACGGCCATCGAGCCATCAAGTGTCAATTGTTGTGGCGGGAGACGATGCAGAGTGAGATTGAGATCCAGCAAGGGGTTCGGGAAGCGCCGCGCCTTGGCTGGAACTCGTGTGCGACTTTCATGGATCAGGGTATCTTGAGATGGTCCAGGGCCACCGAGATAGGATGAGCGCATCGGAATGTTACAAGGCCATCCTGGTCTTCATCTTCTGGATAGGAAAGTAGGCAATTCGGATGCTGCACCTCTGCGTATATCTGTGATGCCCACCAAGGTGTCACCACCTCCGGTGCAGTATCTCCGTGTTCGACGCATGTTGTGCTGGATCAGAGGGTACAGCGTCGACAGGCAATGCAATTGTTCAGCTTTGATGATGGACAGACAGAGTTCGTGTACACAGATCGCAAATATCGAGCCGAATCTATTGTTTGGAAGATGTTGGAAGTCTGTAGATGGGAGCTATCAATGGACTGGCAGTGAACGGCTGAAGAGGAAGGAAGCGGCGGCTTAGGTAATCATCGATAGTAATTGATTCCGCCTCTCCAGATCGCGTCTGTGAAGCGCGTCTCCAAACCCCCACCATGCAGTGAATCTGTAAGCCATTGAATCGCAGTCCCAGAAATCTCGGCTCATCCTCAGGCCCAGCAATGTTTTTGTAAACCTCATCTCCAAGAGTCATTCAATCTTTCCACCAAAGCATGTCGCGCCGTCTCTTCAACCGCGGCCGTGCTGCTGCATCATCAGCGAGCACTTCTACCACCACAACCGTCACTACCCTCCCCGACTACGAGCCGCTTTCGTTCCCTCTGTCCGACACTGCCCGGAAGGAACTGACCGACCTCTCCAATAATCGTGGCGCTGCGCCGTATGAGAGCGCACTGAAAGACTCTATTCGCCATCTGGGCCTCAGCGTCAGCGATCTAAACGAGCGGCTACGCAGAGGCCAGGATCGACTGGCCGCACTCCGTGAGCGCCGAGAGGAAAAGGGTACGGCCAAGACGGCGGAGGAGGAGCGCCTGGAAGAACAGATTCCGGAGTTTGAGAAGGAGGTGGAGAGGCTCACCCGCGAATCCGAGCGCGCTCTCAGAGACTTGGTTGATCGGAAAGCTGAACTGGAGGACGAGGCCGCCATTTTGGAGGACCTCAGCACTACAGCCACCACAAGCACAATAGCCCAGGCGAGAGGCGCAGGCGCTTCTCAAAGCCGACGGAGACCGGCCAACATGGTCGGCAGTGATGGCGAGGACGAAGAAGACCAAAAAGGCAACATCGAAGAGGAACAAGCCGTAACCAGCGTCATCGATACCTTCCGCGAGCTCCGCGCAAAGAAGAGGGCCGAGTACAACGGTCTCAGCGTCCACCAGCGATACGCCCTCAACAACGACTACGCGGGCTTCAAGAAGCTGTGGCACGAAGCCGCAGCGGGGGAAGATGGACCGCCGCTGCCAGACGCCTCCAGATGGTTTTCGTCGAATGGCGAACCGGACATGACTGTTCCTAGCCGGGATGGACAGAACGGTGCCTTTGACGACGACGACGACGTAGCTGTCTCGCGCGAAAACCTTAGCATCAACTGTCCACTGACTCTCCTCCCCATGAAGGAGCCGTACAGGAGCCGCAAGTGTCCGCATACTTTTGAAAAGGCAGCCATTTTGGATTACCTGCCGCTCCGAGAAGAGCGCCAGTGTCCTCAGACGGGCTGTTCTCAGGTGAGCCTTGTTCCACACTGCCCTCTTAACCTCCGTTCTTGAGTGCTAACATGGGATATTTAGACATTTTCTCGTGCTCGCTTCGAGCATGACTTTTACTTGGACGAAGCCATGAAGCGAAGGATCCAGCGCTGGCAGCAGGCGGAACGAGAACAGCGTGATATGGACGATGAGGACGACGAAGACGAAGGAAATGAATCTGTTGTGTTTGGAAGAGAACGCCAGCCAAGGGGGAGTGGCAGAATAGTCAAGAAAGAGGAGAGATGAATGAGTCGTCTGTTGAATGGCATGAGGTCATGATGCTACTGGCAGATATGAATATAGACAACGTGATACCCAGCAATAAATCCATCAAGATCTGACATGGCACTTTTTGAAAAGCTTTGAGCATTCCAAGGTACTTCTGCAGCGGATTGCAGTCCTTCTTTCGGTCCCTCCCTTTTCCGATTCCCATTTCTATCATTTATTGTACAGTGGCCTTTTGCCGTCCGTCTCTCGGTTGTGAGCTTGGTAGCACACCCAAGGGGTATCATTTCTCCCACAGCCATTCAAAAGATGGCTTTTATTGTGATCCTCGAGGCTCTCGCCATTATTTCTTCACACCTTGCGCACAGCAAAAAAGTAGTTGCCCACCTTCTCGCTCCCCTTGACCTCCCTCCATCCCAGCCCAGGCACATACACAACCCCCACGACCTTTGCGCTGTCCCAGCCCTTGCCCGCCAAGAACCCCCTCAGCTCCTCCTCATTGACGTACTTGTTCCAATCATGCGTCCCCTTGGGCACAATGCGCAGAATGTCCTCGGCAATCAGATTCGTCGTCAGCCAGCTGATCCACGTCCGCGCAATCGTGCTCATGACAAGCCACCCGCCCGGCTTCACCAGCGGCCGCACGCGGTCCAGGAAGGCGGCCGGGTTGTCGACGTGCTCAATGACCTCGAACAAGGTCACGACGTCGTATCCTGCGCCCTCGGCGGGGACGGGCAGCTGCTCGACCGAGGACAGCTGGTAGGTCAGCTTGCCGGCCAGGCAAGGGTCCTTGCGGGCGTGCGCCTTTGCGATGTTGAGGACGGACGGCGTGGGGTCGATGGCGGTGACGTGCTTGGTGGACGGCAGTCGGGCGGCGCTCTCGGCGAAGATGCCGCCGCCGCAGCCGATGTCGAGGTACGTGATGCTGGCGTCCGGGACGCCCGTGCCGGTGCTGCTGCCGGTGGAGGTGGAGGGAGAGGGAGAGGATTCCTGGAGACAGGAGCGGATGAGGTCGTGGCGGAGGGGGTTCATGAGGTGCAGCAGGCGGGAGGAGCCGTGGGGCTCCCACCATTCGGCGGCGAGGGCGGTGAAGTGGGAGACTTCATTGGGGTTGACGGAGGAGAAGGTTGAGTGGCATCGTGATGTTGATGATGGTGTTGTTGCTGTTATGGTTGTAGCTGTAGGGGGAAGAAGACGAGGAAGAGAGACCAATTGGGGCCGAAGACGAGGCCCAAGCAGCCATGAGAAGCCACCGGCGGCACCGGCCACCGCTCGGGTCGGGGCGGGCATCTGAAAGGTTACGGGCGGAAGCAGGGCGGCGGCACACGCAAGTAAGACTGACGATGTGGGATGGAAAAACCGTCCAAGAGAGGCTTCGGAGGCTCGGAGGCTGCCGAGGTGGTGATGTCAATGCGCACCAGGGGACCTGAACGGGAAGTGGGAAAAGAAGGGCCCCGGCTGACAAAGAGAAAAAGGATTCGACGCAAACTCCGAGCTTCTTGCAGCTTGCAGCTAGTCAATGGAATTCTTGGAGGGGCTCTCCGGCGTGCCGCGGGACTTTTTTGGGATGGTGGAGAAGAGAACCCTGAGGATACCCGCGCGGCTGGTTATTGGTGTTGCCCTGGAAGGGTAGAGACAAGTTGATAGGCTTTTGGCCGACATGTGTTTGCCGGGAGAGGCTGTAGAGAGAGATGGAGTATCTGGTACATGTACCTAATTGGCATTGCCGATGGGAATTGGAGTGTCCTGGTTGTTGCTTCATAAGGTACGGAGTAGAGTATCAGATAATGCATCGTCACGGCTCTTCTCAACACCTGAACAAAAGCCACAACATCCTAATTACATGCTTACAGCTTCATGCCCTTTGTAAGCGTCCTCAGCCATATTCAACATACCACTCAATTCAAGCAAAAACATGCAAAAGCCAATCTCTGCAACCGCCCTAGCGCCCCTCCGCGCCTCGGCTTACACATCATTACGAGTGGCATCCGGCTCTGACAAAGTCGCATGTGGGATTAGTAGTAGACCTGGCTATGGCCTAGTAAATCTAGTAGTCCCTGATGCCATCATCAGCTCTAGCGGATACGACGCACCGAGGTCGCAGTCTGTAAGGCAAATGCGCAGGTGATATATATTATCCGTGCTGCAGCAACAAAAAAGCTTGTGATTGACAACCCTCTCTCTCGGCTCTCAAGTGTCCTCGCAACAATCTTCAACCCCAACGACAAACCCCCATTGCTGCCACTCCAGACCACCACACCAAAGCCCAAAGCCGAGAATAACCCAACCCTCAATCATCGGATACTCTTTCAGCCCACCCCAAAACCGCGAACCATCTCCGTCCCTCGCCGTTTGACTCGGGTTTCCGCAACAATCTCGGGTCAACTCAGTCAACCCAGTCAACTCAGCTCAACACACATTGAAGTCTGAGCAAGCCACTTATTCCTCGGCCAATCCAATCAATCCAATTCTGCGTCCAGCTCGGTCGGAGCCGCAACACTGCGCGGGTCCGAATTGCTCACCAACAGAGAGGCTACTACAGTAAGGTAATTAGTAGTCACGGGTACAAAGCCATCTGCTCGGAGTTTCGCCCCGACGCTGCGCCGGAAAAGTCCAGAGCGCAAAAGTACTGGTGACTTCAATCTGCCCGCCTTACCAAGACAAGGGTCCCGGAACCTTGAACATCGTCAGACTCATAATCTTCCCCATCGCTTCTCGTCGACTTCTTGGATATCATACTCTTCTCTTTTCTTAATACTGTCTTTCATCTGCATCACAACAGTTGGCTCGACCAAAATCTGCGCCCATTGACAGCAAGCGACAGCGAATAATACCCCAACTAGCCAGCACATCGACACGCAAAATGCCCTCCTCCACCATAGACCAGAGTCAATTCGACTCCATCCCCGACTCCATCGAGGCCTTCCGTACGTTTCCCTCCCGCCCTCGCCTCCAATTCCCGATGCTTCCGCAAGCGTTGTGACCAAATGGACTGACAATCCCCCTCCAGGTAGAGGCGAGTTCCTCGTCGTCCTCGACGACCCCTCCCGCGAAAACGAGGCCGACCTCATCATCGCCGCCGACTCCATCACCACCGAGCAAATGGCCTGGATGGTCCGCCACTCCTCCGGCCTCATCTGCGCCCCCATCACCCACGCCCGCGCCGCCACCCTCGACCTGCCCCCCATGGTCCAGCACAGCCAGGACCCCCGCGGCACCGCCTACACCGTCTCCGTCGACGCCGCCGACCCCTCCGTCACCACCGGCATCAGCGCCCACGACCGCGCCCTCGCCTGCCGCGTCCTCGCCGACCCCTCTGCCACCGCCGCCAGCCTGCGTCGCCCCGGTCACGTCCTGCCCTTGCGGTCTGCCCCGGGAGGCGTCCGCGCCAGGAACGGCCATACCGAGGCCGCTACCGAGTTCTGCCGCCTTGCCGGCAAGGCCGAGGCTGGTGTCATCTGCGAGATTGTGGACGATGGCGAGGAGGTGCCCGGGCAGGCGGTGCGCAACAGCCCTGGGATGCTGCGCGGCGAGGCTTGCATCGCGTTTGCGCGGAAATGGGGGCTCAAGGTGTGCACTATTGCGGATCTGGTGGCCTATGTCGAGAAGACGGAGGGCAAGCTACCCGTCAATGGATCAAATTGAGACGTGGGCGAGTCACGGGAGAAATAATCAAGAGGAGGAAAAAATAAGAAAAACAAGGCAAAAAAGAACGAAGCGAAAAGAACAAGTATAAGGGGAAACCCGAGAATAGCACAAGCGGAAAACAAGGGAAAGTCGAAAAGGCAAACATGAGAGAAACGGAGGTTGGACTTATCACGACCGAAGTCAATTGAGTTATCATGGTTCATCTTTGTCCGGCACATATGGCAAGTGGCAGAACGACCCGATATCAAAAGAGGTGGGAATATCACACTCTACTCCAACTACTTGGCCCTGTATTCAAACCGCTTATATCTACCTACCTCACACGTTTTTGTATATCTGTCTGTACTCTTTATGGCTACGGTAACGGTCCAGGTTAGAATCATATGTTTATACGGCGCTGTTTACATACCGCAATACATGCCTAATGGCATCCATCAAGAGCGTCCAGCGTACCTCGCCATGCTCTGTATATCATCCATCTTATCAAGTCTATTCAAAAGAATACTAGGTATGCTTCGCTTGAACTGTACTCAGTCCCATCTGATATACAGCTATGAAGGGGTCCAAATCCCATACAAGAAAACGCCCATGAATGCTCCATCCCGTCATAGTATTGACATATGGTTACAAAGAAAAGCAAGGTGAAGCACGACAGCACTACGCCATAAAGTCCTCCTCAATATTGCCTTGGCCACCGCTGCTCTTGGTCTGGTTGAGCCCCAGCTTAAGTTCCGCAGCCTTCTCGAGCAGCTCATCCGTGTCGCGGTCCGGCATCGTCAACGGGGGCGCCGTGTTGGACCGGACTTGCACCTTGACCTCGCCTTGCACTCCGTCCAACTTTATCGTCGAGAGCGTGGCGCCTCCTGGCGGTGGCCTCAGGTTCGGCTGCGGTGCTAGGCTCACCAGCTCGCGGAAGAAATTGTTGGCCGCTTCGCAGCCGTCCAGCAGCCATTTCAGGCAGATGGTGACCCGCTCCTTGGCGAACGGGTTATGGTCATCGTACGCACAGCAGTTGAGCAGGGGCACGATGCCGTTGTACTTCATCATCTGCATCTGCACCTGCGCGTTCCCAGGGCTGCTTTGGCCAGGCGGGGGCTGCAGCAGCGTTGCAATAATGGTAAAGATCTGCCCCTTGATGCCGGACCATGGAAACTTGTGAGCCGGCTCCTGCAGGGGCGGTGGCGGCGGAGATGGGGACACGCATTCAGGTCCTGTCGAGTAAGGCCGCTCCACCATCGGATCGTTGACGTCGCCGCTGTTGGTGTTGGTGTTGAGGCTGGGGGCGCTCTCCGTTGATGGCGCGCGTTTCGGCACTTCGACGAGGGGCTTCTTCGGCACTGCGGCCTCGAGGCTGCTGAGAATCGTAATCAGATCATAGATAGCCTGCCACTCGATCAGGTGCGGCCTCATATCCACCATCTCAGCCACGGTCGTGAGAAACTCCAGGTACTGAGCCAATCCATCCTTGGCTCGCTCCATATCCCAGCTGTCAACCGGGAACTCAGCTGGGTCACGGTTCTCTTCTCGAATCTGGGCTTGCAGGTGCATCAATGCCGCGCATTCCGGAACGATGCGGCTCCGGAAGAAGCTGAAGAAGAAGTGCGCCAGCTTGAGATCCCTCGTCTGGTCCTTGGAATCTTGCGTAGTAGAGCTGGCTGCTCGAGCCCGGAGCATGTGGTTGACGAGGCGCAACAGAACCGTCTGTGCCGGAGAGATGATGTCCTTAGGAATCCTCAGCGAGTTCCACGCATACGGCACCAGCGCGCTGTGGTGAATGGCTTCCACAATCTGCGTCGTGACTTGGAAAATGAGGCTCTGCTCGTCCTTGTCCCATACGGCGATGAAGACGAGCAGCTCCCTGAGGAGGCTCTTGCCGCAATCTAGGGCGAGGAACATTCTGCAGCGCGTCTTTTGCAAGTTTTCTCCAGCCCGTGTCAACCCGGACCCTGCGTGATCGAGTATGCATGACTTTACTATCATGTGCAACGCCTCGATCTGCTTAGGATCCAGTATGTTGGGCACTTCGGTCAAAAGTCCAGTCAAGGGCCCGTCTCCATATGATTCATCGTCGTCAACCTCCTCATCGTCCATCATGTCGTCCATATAATCATGAGGATAGTCGTGATCATGGTGGTGATGATGATGATGGTGGTGGTGGCAGTGATGGTGATGATGGTCATCCTCGTTATCGTGGTGATGGTGGTGATAGTGGTGGTCGCACTCCTCGACCTCGTTGCCAGACGCGGCGTGTTCGTGGTGATGATGGTCGTGTTCGTGGTCGTGGACGTGATCATGGTCATGCTCGTGTTCGTGATCATGGTGGTGATGGCAGTCATGTTCATCCTCATGATGATGGTGGTGACGCAGATAGCAGTCGTGGCAGTCGTGGCAGTGTTCGTGATCAGAGAGGTCCTCTTCGGCGCCCTCGGGAGGGGGCGAGTGGTCTGCTCGGTACGAATGGGCATATCGATGGACCAAGTTGTTTCGGCAGTGCTCTGTACGCGATTGCGCAAACTCCACCGAGGGCATGCCTACTACCCAGTCTTCGTAGTTGGGGTCGCGCGCTCGGAGCCACCAGGTATCAATCTCACGCGATACACGAGCGTACAGTCTGTCCTGTTGGAACTTGTCCGTCTCGTCCGGCTTCCATACCGGGTTGATCTTCTCGTTGTTATCGTCCATGATGATAGGCGTGGCTCCGGGGACATCTGGGAGCCAGTTCCAGGCCAGTGGCCGTATAGGGGCCAGGTTTCCCGGTGGTTTGTCTGCATGGTTCTGCGCGTAATCCTTGAGCAGCGCCCTCGCCGTGTCGCACATTTTCGAGTTCCGATCAAGCCAATGCTGAACCTGAAGCTTCGCCACATCCGCGCGGAAGCCCGACCCATCGCTCATGATTTCCTCAGGGCTCGACAGCGCTCCGTCATCGTCAAACAGCACGTCGAACCAAAACGACATCTTGTTTCGGTCATGCTTGGCCGTCCAGTTGTGAACCTGCTGCAGTGATGTCACAAGCAGTTTTTTGTCTGGAGAAAAAGTCAGCCTGTGTCAGTTCCTCAATCTTTGGGGTAGGTCAGCATCCACATACACAATTCGGTGATATCCGTGAGCTTCAGTCTCTGAGTCTCGTCCAGTATCTCGCCGTCGTAACCCTTGCTTGTGACGTTTACACAGAGGATAATCGTCTGATAGACCATCTGGTCAAAGTGCACTGCGGCGCAAATGTCCTGGGGGACCTCGGGCTCGGCATTGACAAGAAGATTGCGGGCGATGTGCATGAGTTTGATGAGAGTGCCCAGGTCTTCCTTGACAGAGACGTGGTTGAGGACGATCAAGGCCGTGCTTTCCTGGGGGCTGACTCCCTTGTCGGGGTCGTTCAAAGCCGACAGCGGTCCCACTGACCTCGACGTCAAGCTCGGGATGGCAGCCGCAAAGATCCTGGTAAGCCATATCCAGATGGCCACGTTCCGCGCCAACGCCTCTCTTTTGATGCGATTCCAGGTTAGCCAACGAACGGACTGTTGTAGATTAACTTTCACCCTACCTGACTTTCCGGAGCGTGTGCGTCTTCTCCAGCGTCTTGGAGATCATCGAGTTGACCCGCGCCGTGGTCTGCGGGCCCATGGGCGGCGACTGTGTAAAGTGGCCCTCGAGGCAGATGAGTGCGGCTGAGAAGCATCGCTCCTCGATGGTCTCGCCCGAGTCGCCGCCACCGTTGTCCTGCGGCCGCGGCGCAGCAACATCTTGGCCCAGCACCGTGGTATCGTTGATGTCGATCGACTCTGCCATCCTCATCTCTGCGGCCGGTTTGCGGGGGAGTCTCGACAGATACAGAGCAGAGCAGAGGCGATGACGATGATGCGCGCGTGAGCACCGGCTTGATAATTGCTTGCAGGTTTAAGAAGCTGGAGGTGCTGGGATGGTCCCGCAGAAAAAAAAAGTTGCCGGCTTGGTAAGCATAAAATGCCCCGCTATATCGGGGATACAAATTCCAACAGTGAGGCGATACAGAAGTAAAAAGGGTTTTGCTAGAGGTATGCTAAAGTATTGCGCTGTTATCTTGCCTGTGAGATGGGCATGACGAGTCCGACTTTGATAGAAAGAGCAAGTAGGAGATCATGATGATGGTTGGCATCTTGGCGGTTGACGACTGTTCCCCTGTCAACCAGAGCGGAGACATCGTTTATATCCTGTCGCGGAACAGCGCCGCCAGGTACCATGATAACGATAAGGTACCTTGATGGTCCCTGCACTGTCTGACGGCCTCGGTACCTCTGCAGGATTAACTTCAACTCAATGTCATCTCTTGAAGCAATTAATATAGCATCTCCAAATGCTCGTATAGATCCCGTCTTATACCTCGGAATATCACATAAGCGGACTAGACTCTGTAAACCTAAACCTGGTGATGACGTGCTCCTTGCTTGAATCCATGAGAAAACGTGCCAGAGGGGACGAAGAAAAAAAAACGTGCCCCTCCATATTACTGACCTATCGATAGAGGGGTAACTGATAGCACAGCAGTGAACGTCAACCTTTTTTTTGCTCCTGTGAAGCTGCGCCTTTTCTAGTAATCCATCATAATCCACCATATTTGAATACACGCATTCCTTCTCAGTATAAAAGTGAGCAATCTCTTCTTAAGCTTGCCCTCGCCTCCTGTGGAAGTGAAATCAGCTAACACCAAGCATCAGCAGCAGTCATCATGGGCGACCTTCCTACCACCTTCGATCGTATGTCACGATAGCTTCAACGACCAGCGTCAATGTGTCTGTAACTTCTAACCCTCTCGTCCAGAGCCCGTCCACATTGGCGTCATTGGCGGCACCGGCCTTGCCCAGCTCGAGGGCTACGAGCCCATTGCCCTCGTCAACCCCGTCACGCCCTGGGGAACGCCCGCCTCGCCCATCTCCATCCTCTCTCACAACGGCGTCAACATCGCCTTCCTTGCCCGCCACGGCCTGCATCACCAATATGCGCCTCACGAGGTCCCCAACCGCGCCAACATCGCTGCTCTCCGCCACCTCGGTGTCCGATGCGTCATCGCCTTCTCTGCCGTCGGCTCTCTGCAGGAGGAGATCAAGCCCATGGACTTTGTCGTCCCTGACCAGGTCATCGATCGCACCAAGGGCATCCGGCCGTTTACCTTCTTCGAGGGCGGTGTTGTAGGCCATGTTGGCTTTGCGGACCCCTTTGACAAGAAACTGGCGGATATTGTCAAGACCTGCGCGGCCCACATGAAGGGCGATGGCGTGGTGCTCCATGACAAGGGCACCATCATCTGCATGGGTTCGTCAATGCCTCCTGTAAAGAGCCAATCTTGGGACTCGCAACAACTAATCATTAGATGCTCACAGAGGGACCCCAATTCTCCACCCGTGCCGAATCCCACATGTACCGATCCTGGGGCGGCTCTGTCATCAACATGTCTGCTCTTCCGGAGGCCAAGCTTGCGCGTGAAGCCGAGCTGTCCTACCAGATGATCTGCATGGCTACCGACTACGACTGCTGGCACTCATACGAGGACGTCAACGTCGAGATGGTCATCAAGTACATGCAGGCCAACAGCCAGAACGCCAAGCGACTTGTCGGCGGCGTTCTGGACCAGCTCTCCAAGCTCGACCACAGCGATCTTGTTCTTGCCAAACACTGGGAGGGAGCGTCCCAGGGATCAGTCAAGTTCATGACCAAACCCGCCGGCAGAAACCCCGAGACTATGAAAAAGATTGAGTACCTGTTCCCTGGATTCTGGGATAACTAGAACTTTGTTTCAGAGAGGATACACAGGGGGCGTTTCGTGGGTGGTGAGCGCGATGCAAACGGAATGCTGGGTCAACCCAGACGAGCTCGCGACTTTCCAGTAAATCTCGTTTCTTATTATTTGCGCGCCGCCATTATTTTCTTTTGCTTCATTTCCCTTCTTCTCTTCTGTTCCTCTTCCCTTTCAGGGCTTTGGAAAAGGGTCTATTGTGAAGGGCTTGGCAGAATATAGGCTCAAGCGATAAATCTTCAACAGATTGAAGATACTACAGAGGTATTCAACAGATGTCCAAAGTATAGGCGGCAGGGGTTCAAGACAGAACAATACAAAGACAAGATTTAGATCATGAGGCTCTGGCTTTTTCCACCATTTATAGGACTGTATATCCCATGAATAGCTGTGTTCACATCACGCAATGCCCAGTACCTAGGTATGTAACAAGACAACAAATTAGCAGATCACCGGGTTCAATACTGACGTTTAAAGAATATCTTCTCTAAATCTTCGAATACAAAAGAGAGGATCTATCGAAATCATAAGAGAGAATATACCATACCCTTCACGGTGTCTAAGAGGGAGCAGTAGCATCGCCATCTCAAACGGCTCAAAGCACAGATACTCAATCACTCCGAAAAAAAGGGGGCGTTCCCTATTCGTCTCCCGCAAACCAATCCTATGCATTCTCCATCTTCTTCTCCCACAACAACACACATCCCACATCAAAGGCACAATGACACAAAGTGACCTGAAGTCAAAGACGCAGCCACGTCCCAATCTGTGTCAAGCAAAGCATATCTTGCATCTAACATGCGCATCGACATTGGGACATTCGTGTCTGCAGTCGAACTGCGACTTCACAATCTACAGATCCAACATAACAACCAACCCTTTTCCCTTCTTCTCTCTTTGTTAGATAGTTTGATGCTGGATAGTTTTCGCGGAGTCGTGGTGTTGCGCATGGGTCAATGATGCCGCTCTCGTACATCAAACTCTGTCACTTTCTGATCGTGCATAGCAATTCCGAGAGAGAACCCGCTGCGTGACTGAGAATGGAGTAAAACAGTAAAGACAAAGAGAAAAGAACTGTGACAGCTAGGGCGCGCCATTGTCAATCAGTGAAATAGTACCCAAGGGAGTGGACGACATGGATGCAAAAAGAAGAGCATCGCCTCTTTCTTGCATGCCAGATAAGGTCATCTCCAAAGGGGGGACGTCCTGTTGGAACAAGGTTGCTGCTGCACAACAGAGACGCGCACCCACCCCGATCGGTATCGTGAAGCACAATCGGCCGAGATGGAGATTCCATAGCAATTGAGAAATCGCATTCCGCTGCTGTCAAATCCCTCGTCCCAGGATGAGTGGACGTTTCCCGCGCATGACGAACCAACCGCTCTCCTCTTTTGGTCTGATCCGCAGCAGTAAGCTGTCATAATGTGACAGTGCTTGCTCTTGTACAACCTGTCAAAGGATCTGGTGTTGGGGGCATGCGTCCAATGATGATGGATTACATGTCCTGATTCATCACTTTTTCGTTGGCACCCTCAGCTCCATTGTGTAAGCGAGGTTCGAAGATGGAACTTGCCTGTACGAAGCACAAAAGACCCCCCTCAACCACCCCCCTTCCTAGCAGATGCATGGAGTACATGAAGGCGACATGTTATACTTGTATACCAGATGAATGGATACCCAGAGGACTGCGGCTCGGAGTTCATGCAAACTTCGTTAGTGCGCCAGTACCGCTCCTCCACCTGTCAATGCCCTGGTGCATGAGACGTACGTAGAGAAAATGGAATGTGATGACGCGCTGTGGGTTTGTGTACCTCCGCACATTCAAGGGCCGCGAGGCATCAGAGCCCTGGCTGTCACTTGTGCCACGTTTTTCTCACCCATGCCGAACGAAGAGAATTAAAGCCACTATTATATCCGCAACAGCAACCAACATGCAGATCTCAGGGGGGCCCCCATGTGAAATAAACTGCAAAGGGAACTTCGTAGAAAGCCGGGGGATGCAAGAATGTGCTGCTGAGTACGAAATAGCGGCGGAGTACAGCACCAGGAGCACTGGAACTGTAAGGTATGTCTTTTAGGAGCTGTTCTCAGAAACATTGCATACATAAGTCTGCAGTTGTGCTTGAGGGGTGTACCTATGCATATGCAGCAGCAGCCACCGTTTCGGTGTACCAGGGCGAAAGAGTAAGCACCAAACTGAGCAGCCTGTCGGAATATGGCCGGGTTGCATGTATTTCAGCCGTGACAGGCAGACTGCATGAGTGCCAATTCGCTCCTCATGGAAGGGACGTTAATATAATACTTCAGCTGCAAGTGTCGACCGGATCGAGATTGTGCCTTTGACATAAAAATGATCAGAACTAGGGGTTTCCTTGTCTCCTCGTCTCTTCGTACTTACACGTAGCGTTGCGTGACTTGATAGAGGTATCATCCCGAGACTATTCTCTCGCCTTTGGCATCTACAGGCAAACTTGCGATTCTTTTCTGCGATGAAACGTGTCGGTGATGAATGGAGTGTATGTCACGTCTCGTTCCCCAATGCCATAGAAATGAGGTCTAATGAGCAGATTCGCATGGTGCGATTGCCCCGAGAATGGCCAAGTCGTAATAGCACGCACCGAATCTTTCAAGCAGATAATGTCAAAATTGGGGCATCCGTTGCATCGTCAGGCCCCATTCGCATATTCATCTGAATAAGACGCAAGTAGCGACATCGGCCTTGAACCCTGAGATAAGAATACGTTGCCGCACAGGAAGCATATAGCATGTTGGTTGCCCAATTGTCATTCTCGCCGTGGGCTCTGGATAGTTGAACTCGATACTCTTTCCTCGAAAAGCTCGAGCCAACAATATCGCCAACGAAGGAAGTCTGTTAGCTGGTAGTCTGTATCGAACTCCCCACTCCGGCTTCCACATAAATACTCCCCAACGGAGGACGAATTCCAGCGGCCAGGCATGCATGATAGGTCACTTTACCAAAACCACATGGGGCGAGTGCGAGTCAGCGACAAGGGCATGTCTTGATAGACTCGAGTTGAGTTGGTGCGGACGGTTACTGCAAGAGGGAAGCTCGAACAGCCTTTTCCAAGCCAGTGTTCAAATAGGTAGAGTAGGGGCTGTTATAGAGAGTGCCGAAGACATCTTCCTTGGCAGCAACAAGGCTTCCGCAAGACTCTCGCAGGAATCATGTCTTCATTTCCACAAGTACCTGTTGGAACGCCCGCAAGAATACTCCGCAGACTCCATGCAACCATTGTCCGCAAAGTCAGATGAGTGAGCGGCAGTGGGGGGCCTGAGCCTGGCGCAACTTCTTGGGTAGCGGTCACTGGGGCATCCTACCAACCCCTGGGAGTATTTCTGCCTTATGAGATCAGTACTGCGTGCCTTTGGTCAACATGGCCTGGCCACTTGTCAAAAGTTCTGGCAGAAAGGATCGTGCTGCAATGCCTTGAAAAAGGAAAACGCACAATTTAAAATTCGGGAAGTGGGTGTCCCAGCGACCCCATATCTGACGAAGAGGTGATATGCAGATGCCATCCCAGGAGGTATCCATTGGTGGATGGAAGGGTCTACTCACATTTCATTCTGCACATCCCAGCGCTTCCCAGCACTCCTCGTACAGTAGCACCTGGTCATCTTGTGCCCACACTGGGATCGACTGGGGGCATGAAACGGGGACGCTAATGTGAGGATGTACGACTAACTCTCGACGAAGTTGCAAGGACGTTGTCTAGGTTCTGCCTTCTCGTTGTGACGTTGTCAAGGTTCGATATGGAAAGAACCCCGCAACCAGGAATATGAGAGCCCTATGTGAGCTCAGTAAGGCAGAGGCTGAGCTCTATCTCGAATAGAACCGAAAAGGCAAGTAGCATCTCGATGGCAGTTCGGTATGCAAGCAACGCTCGTGGGGCAAATCGTCGCCGTTCAGGGATCTCCGCCGCTCGGGTCTTCCCGCAGTTGAAGAGAACGGAGGAAGCTATGCAAAAAATGGTGGCAGGCTAGGGCTGGACGAGGATTTCGTTCCGTTTGAAGGCGCTAGAGGTACTAGGGATGGAGCCTGTTGTGCTGTTGCCTGTGATTATTGTTCAATGATTCAAGAAGGGGGGTCTATCAGGGCCCAAGTCTCAAGGATGTGTGGGAGCAACCTACATGTATCTTCTCTCTTTGATGCCTTGACTATTCCTGGGCGTGCTTCATGCCTCGTACTTCGTGCTTCCTAGTTGGCGGCTGTATCAACCGGTTATTCCCAAAGATGGATACGGCATTGTCATTGTGTCGACGGGCCCACTGTCAACTGTACCCGGGCTCCGTACTTGTATGGCGAACAGCTGTCTGCATAATCGCTCCGCGGAAGAATGAATGCTGCTCGGACAAAGAAATCTGCTCTCACAGTTCAGTTTCTGCTCCGAAGAAGGATTTGGGCGAAGCTATTCACCCCAGCCGACCCCATCCTCAGCGATTTCCTGCGAGAAATATGCGGCCCTGGACGAGAGAGATCCCAAGCTCAGCAGGGCTCGAGAGAATCGATTGCCCCTGGCTCTTCAGGGGAAGCCGTAGCAGAAGCGGCCTTGGTCCACCGCGTCTCGTACGATATGTACGTATCTTTTGTCGACTTGTCGCACATACTACTTGCAAACCCAGTATAGTAGTGACTGTAGACCAATCTGGGGGGATGCATAAAGAGCTCCATACTAGCCTATAGTACAAGGAGCGGTAATAGCAGCACAGAGTATGGAGTAGTGCTCGTCTTGCCTGTACTGCCATTCGATGCTTGCGCTTGGAACAGGGACATGCCCCTAAGGTACGGAGTACGCTTAGAAGAGTCGCGAGCAGACCCGTTTAGGTGGCCCGAGGGCGTGAGGTGGGACATCCCTGGAGATTGAGCTTAGAAGCAGTGTCTGTAGGGAACAGATGGCAGCTGTCGCCCGTCAACATCAGCGAGCCGTTTGGCGATCTTGCTACTTCCGCGCCCGGCCGTTGAATGCACATGCGGATCTGACGTGTACTTGCCGCAACGTAGCTCATGTGGGTCGGTGATGGCCATTCTGTTGCTCATTTGCACCAGACTGAGGTCCTTTCAGCCAGCCGTACTTATCCAGGGGACGGAAATTGAACTCAAGGTCGATCAAAGGGCGATGGTGCTCCGCGAAAGAAGAACCTCGCACAGGCGCTTCTCGGAAGCAGCTGTTCTGAGGTCGGACAGGTCACGCAAGTGTTTGGCAATGAAAAGACAACGTGGGTAAAGGGAAGACGAAGGGGAAGAAGATAAGGAGGAGGAGACAAAGAACGGCTGTGATGATCGTGATGATGACGACAGGAGAGGGGAGTAGGAGGTACAGGCAGACTCGTACTGCAAAAGTATCAGCGCCTGGGCAGGTACGCAGTCGGGAGGTAGAGGCGCCATCATCCACCACACAGGCGGTTGCGAGATACATCTGCTTCCAGAGCTGTGAATGGTGCAGGTACAAGCTCCCCGAGTGCCGTGCTCGATGCCTGTACTTGCACGTCCTCAGCGGGCGCTCTGGCAGTCGCGTGTCAGTGGGGTACTGGCTCACCTCCTGCCTTCGTTGAGAACTTGCAAGGCAGGCGCAGCCCAAGGATCCATAGAAGCCGGTGGAAGGATTGATTGGTATTGTCTTATGCGAGGCAGGCGTGCTTGAACAATTAATCGTCAGGTTCTTGCCCGGTAGAGACTCCAGCATGAGCATCAGCATCGGAAGGAGCGTTTCATACGTACCTTGATAGCAAGTAGGTACATGGGCACGTGCCGTCGAGACTGCTGGGAAGCTCCAGCTCCTGTTCTTCGTCTTCTCGTCTTCTTCGACCAGGATCTCAACGACAAATCGACCAATGAGAGGGTCATGTTGGCAGCCCAGACGGCGATCTTCCCATGTGAAAATATCAGTGGAGTGTTCCCGCAGACTCTCAAAAGCCTCGGCGATGGAACACAGCCGCCTAGCTGGAGCATCCAGTCACATCCTCGAGCACCACACCCTCTCGCGTTTGATAGCTTCGATTCGATATACAAGCCGACAGGATCAGTGCCAAGTAAGCACGACAGCAGCTCGACTACTTGGCAAGGGGGTGCGAGTTCCCGGTTTTCGTACTTCGTACAAGATGCCTTTGCGGAATCTCAACAGGGGCCGGACCGCCAATGGCGAGAGTCGTTGCATGCCGCGTCCCGCCGGCTCGCTCTGTTCCGTTCTGGCCCCTGGGAACTGTAGATCGTGTTTGGAGTACGAAGGACGAGGTACGCAGCAGTGTGTTGCGTTCGAGGAAGACGGCAAGCCTATTGACCCGGGCAGGTTACTCGGAATCCTTTCAAAGGTGAGTTTTCGTGAGCAGACTTTGGCTCCAGGCACAGCTATGCATGTACAAGCAAACAAGTCAGTTGTTGTACAAGCAGGTAGTTGACTGACTCAGAGCTAAAGACATCTCGATCGCCAGAGCTCCCCAAGATGCTCCGGAACGCCGCTCCGTGCTTCCAAATACTAGCTGCATATACTACCCAGCACCATCTGCCTATATTCGGAGCTGCGAGTCTGCTCTCAGGTCATTATGCAGTCAGCTTTGATCATGAAAGCTTGTCATGACAGGTACCAAGCATTGATGCTGCAGATTACCCGTCTCGATGCCGCAAGGGGCACTCCGACACGGAGGACGGAGGACAGCGTCCCACTCTCCTGCCGGGCCGCCCGCGCCCATTGGCCAGGCCGACCGTCGAATACCTCTACAGAGCACGGCCGTGCCTCGCAGACCTGCTCCGTTTATGAGCCGCATGAGTTGGTGTCGCGTTACACTCACGGCTCCAGAGTTGATGCTTCTGCATGCTGTGACAGAGCTTCGGTACCGACTTCACACCGGATGATCACCTATCATATTCCTCTGCGTCTGCCACTGCAAGCGCGGACTCCACCGCAGCCTTTGCTACTCGTCACATGGACTAATGGAACTCGGGGTTCAAAGAGGAATAACCTCATCACCCAGCTCAGCGCTAGGCGTCATATTCCTCCAAACGAGGGTATTGGTACTTGTGACCGTAACAGGCAGAGGCATGAGGTCAAGTCACCAGGAAAGAGGTACGCAGAAGGATCACTTATGCTGGCAGGCCGTTGTTGTCCCAGACAGTTTGGTAATGCGTGCAAATGCTCTGGCCGAATCTGCTTATACAGATTTCACGTTCAGTCGAAGACCATATCAAGTGAGCATCGTCCCACACGAGAGCTCCGTCGCTACTATACCTGCTACAACCAAATATACCTGTACGAGGAGGTATGCAGTCCAAATAAGGGTCCCAGCTTGATGTAACCCTACAGCCAGAAACTGCCGGCATCGCAGCCACCGCGCTTCAGGTCGCTTGGGGTCGATACTTGTGTCACGATCGATGGTCGGATTCGGGCGAAAATGTAAGAATCTGGTACGACGCAAAAACGCAGACAGCCCCCCACGACACGCCCGTTCGTATATGCTTCCGGCCGGCCGTGTGTGACGTAGCACATGAGCGGATGAGAAACGCCCTTCCGCGTGCTCTCCCCTGGAGCACAGATTGCTCCAGGGTACGACCATGATGGACGACAGGGCAACCAAAAAGGGCAGCCATAGTGCCATGGGCAACGGCTGCGCGACTCGCATGAGCATCTGCTTTTGCGTGTACAAGGCATGTGTTGAACAGCTTTCGGTGGTCTACTGTACGGATTACCAGTAGTAAGGGAATTACAGGAAGACTGATACGGAGATCCTCACAGCACTAACGGCGATATCGAGCACAACGCCCGTTGCTACCCCATGCTTAGACGAGCACAAGATTGCAACGATGCAAGGGCCGCGGGGTGTGCTGAACAAGCCGGGACCAAAGTGGTGGATCAAGCCTTATCCTTTCTCTTGCCGAGCACCACTCTGGCCCTTCTACTTCGTACTTCGTACAGAGCGCCTAGTACTAGTACTGGTGATTCTCCGTATGTGGAGAGATGGGTCTCCAGGGTGCTGTGATGGTCTATTGGCGGATGTCCTGGTACGTTACGCATCAAGCGCTGGTCAGTTCGAGTTGATACTACTACCCAGTAGTACTCGTACTTCATACATGCTGGTACAGCGGTTGCATGTGTACTAATTGCCTGCATGTTTGGCCGCTTACACAGTAATGGACGAAGCGACATGGACTCTTCACTGCCATCTGGAAATCGGTCTTATATTCTGGGCAATGAACCGTCGAGATCGAGATCGAGATCGATATGGCCGTCATGAACTCCCGCCGTCCACGTCCTCCCACTCGGCCCTTATGCCCTAGCGAGCCTTTTGACTGGTCCACGCCACCCCTTTTGCGCATTTCAGACTGATTCGCATCCAGCTTAACCTGCTCCACTAGAGCCGCTGCTTGTCCAAGTACAAAAAGTCGCGCCCTGGATCCCGAGCGGACAAAGCGGGTCTGAGAAGCTGGGCGTCTATCGGAATGTTCTGCATCACCGTTCAAGTTGGCGGGCACGAAGTCCAATTTCAACAGCGCCATGGATTTCGAAGTGACATGTGTAAGCGCTGGCTCATCATCACCATTGGATCGCTCAAGGTATGCGCAAGCAGCGTAGCACAAGGGGAGTGAGACATGATCGTGTATTGTAACGGATATAGTAATACTAGATACTAGCTTTCACTCGGCCCGCGCCGAAGACGAGGACCGCCCTCCAAGCCACCATCTCTCGATCTCCGCTTAGGACATCCATGCTTGCTGGGGGGAAACGGCGACACAGAAGCCGCCCTGCATAAGCCAGCCTGATTATCTATCCATGACCAGCAGCGACGACATCGCGACGCCAATCTGTGCCTCGTTTACACACGTATACCCGCAGCTGCTCACAAGGGCTTCGCATGGTAGAGACACGTGGTGGCGCAACAATGGGAGTGCCAACGTTCTCCAAACCTCACTTCAGCTTGTGAATCCTTCGGTGCCAGGAGGTGATGGAGGTACGCTTTTGCAATTGCATGTATGCGCTGGCGGACTCGGCGCAGTGCAGGCGCTGAAGCTCGATAACCAACTCGAGAAACCAATGCGACTGCCTCGGGCATGGCTCCGTGAGCGTCTGCTCTTCTTTCCCCTTCTCTCCTCGTCGATGATGGACCGAAGCCGCAGCAGATGGAGTCAATGGGCGATGCGACAGTCTCCATCCTGGTGCAGCACAGCGGCATCATATACTACGAGTACTCGTACGAAGTAAGACCTCCCCTCCAATGCAGAGCTGGAGCTTGGTAGCGTCCCCTCACCCCCTTCTGTAATCCTTATAACGGTGGCTCGTCCTGACAGGGGCGGTACACGGTTGGTGCAGTGGTGCAGTGGCACACCCCCCTGTCCTCCATATGCAGGTGGACTAATGTGAGGCCAACCCCATCGGGCCATACCCCGGCCGGGACCCTACAGTATGTTCGCCTCATCACCAGGTGGACTCGGAGGGGTTCTGAACGCTCCGGCTGGCTACGGCCGCTTGCTGCGATGCCGTGCAATCGTACCAACTGTTTGTAGGCTTCGAGGCTATCGTCTTCCCAGGCCATCCTGGACAGCACCCTATCCTATTACGGCCCTCCTGGCTAAGCACGCATGTATGCGACACACGGAAACCTGACAGGCCTGTGGGTGGATGGGGTGTGCAGCATGCGGCGTGCAACAGGAAAAATCCAGCTCGAGCGAGTATCTTCGCAGACATCTAATCACTGCTCGCTCTGTCTTCCGCGCAGCGGAATAGGAGATGGGCAGACTGGATCTTTCTACCTGTCGTGCAGAGTTGGCCCCTTGCGTGTTCTTCATCTCTGATTGAAACATTGTGTCCGCTTCTTTTCTCCTCTCCTCATCCATTCACGCAGAGTGCTGCAGTGCATCAGGCCAAGGGCCAACACATCATCGAGCTGCTTGTCGCTGTCGTTCCCTCGGTATATAAGCTCGTCCTGGTTCTAGCATAACGACTGTCGATCCAGAGCAAGGTGTCAGGCTGCAGCAAGAGACACTGCACTTCTTTATCATCTTTGTGATTCCGCATCGTCCTACCCGCCACGTATCACACGCGCAGTATGGCCTCGCAGCATCAGATCCCTAGGCACGGTGATGTGATGGACATTGGTGGAAGCCGAATGCATGAGGACATCGGAGAGAGGCTCTCGAGGGTCCTGACAGCCGTCTATGGCCCCAATGCAAAGCCAACACTTCCAGATGAGCTTCTGTACACCGATGTTGGACTGCCCATATGGAACGAGATCATCTTCACACCCGAGTTCTATCAGACGCATGACGAGATCGCACTCTTTGATGCACACGGAAGCGAGCTCGTTAGGCGGCTCCAGCCCGGCGTGACCTTGGTTGATCTGGGAGTCGGGTACGTCTGATGAAAAGGCCCAGAGAGCAGATTGATATGAGCTAACGTGTCTTCGCCACGGTCCAGTGACACCCGCAAGGTAGAGCATCTGTTGGCGTGTTTTGAAAAGGCGCAGCTGGAGGCCACCTACTTGGCCCTCGACATCTCCAAAGCGTCACTGGAGCATAGCGTGGGCTACCTGCTCGACAAGCATTCGGCTGCGGACGCCGCCAAGGTGACCTGCGCAGGTTTGTGGGGGACGTTCCAGGATGGGATGACCTATGTCCAGGGAATCAAGAGCCAGAGGCTGTTTCTCTCCTTGGGCTCCGTGCTTTGCAACGACCCCTGGCCCGAAGCTCTGAACCACCTCAAGTACTGGGCGAAAGCACTCCGGCCCAACGATCTCCTCTTAGTGGGAATGGACGGCCACTTGCTGCCCCAAGACAAGGACAAGATCTGGGCCGCCTACCACTCACGAGACGACCTGTACCGGAAGTTCTTCCTCAGTGGATTTGAACAGGTGAACGAAGCGATTGGGGAAGAGTGGTTCCAGGAAAAAGACTGGGACTTCATGGCGCAGCTCGAAGAGAAGCCAACGACTCGGCACCGATTCTTCTTCCGCGCCAACAAGGACGTCACGATCCACAAGCTTGGTCGGACGTTCAAGGAAGGTGAAGAGCTAGACTGGTTCGACTCTCACAAGTATGGAGAGGAGAGCGTTCGACTCATGTGCCATAAGGCGGGACTGAGTGTGATCAGTGTCTGGCAAGCACCCAACTCCGAGTTTCGTAAGTCCGATGCCTTGTCGCTCTGCTTCCCCCTTTCGACTGCTTTTTCGCTGACACGCGTCTTCTTGTAGGGCAATATCTTCTCAAAACGAAGGGGGAGTTGGACCAAAAAGACGATGGAGATAGCGCCGTATCAGGGCTAATCTTGTAGTAGGCCATTCCTTGCTTTGGAACGTCGTTGTTGGTTCTGGTATTTTCTTCATCGCTTGCGCCGTTATCTTGAGCTTTGGGGGGTTCAAGGCTGGGGGAGGGGGTATCATCCGGGCTAGAATGGAATTGTGAACGGGGACCACAGGTTAGGCTTTGCTTTGAGAATCGCAATTAATATCATCGGCCCGTTTCAGGTCAGGCAGAGGATCTCCATCTCGTTCTCTTGCACGCGCTGAACTAGATGCTCCCACCAGGGAAGCCTTTTGCCGACTTCCTCGTCTAACCTTCCGTTGACTGGCGGCTTGAGGGTGGGCTCGGTATCAATCCACATCCATATGCGCTTCAACGCGTCATAGAGCGGCGGCACACTCTGCAAGGTGTTTTCAGTTAGTCAATTGTACTTGCAAGAATGGTTCGGAGGAAACGAGGTAATGTCGTACACTTCTCACGGGCGTGCTGGTGACCCTTTCGAACCAGTTCTGAGCAACGGCAACGTGTTCCGGGACGGTGGCTAGCATTCCCAGAAGGAAAACAGGGAACAGAGGGGCCTGCGCGGTGAAGTTGTAGCCAGAAGTTGGCATGATGTTGATACATTTGGCAAGGTCGTTCAGATTGGACAACACCTCGGGGTGATTCCGAGGGATTCTGTGGACTCAAGTGTTAGTTTGACTGAAGCTCTATCATGCTAGTCAGTATCATCTTACCTCAGAGCACGACACTGCAAATAAACAATGGCTGCAATTCTCCAAGCTTCGGCAGTCACCTCTGTCATGGAGCTTGCGCTGTCAATGACATAGCCTTCGTGAGCAGCGCGGACCATCTCAATGGTTTGCTGCTGGGTCCTGGCAACTTCCCACGGGTTTGAGTTGGGCGCACTGCTCCATTGCCTCATATCCAGCAGCTCGGACAGCAGGAACTTTGCAGTGAGTGGAATGACGGAGCTCTCGGGATCTTGATATAGCCGCGCGGAGCAGTATGTAATCTGGCTGAAGGAGTGAAGCAGTTTCTTAGAGAAACCGCATCCGCCGTGGATCTCATACATGTCTTTCATGTCACCGTAAAGGAGCCAGCCAAACCGAGCAGCTTCCCTCTCGGGGTCAAAGGTCGATGGGGGAGGTAGCGTGGTCATGAGCTGCGAAAGTATGACTGCCCTGCCGACGATGACGGATTGGGAGATTCGAAGGGAGGAGAGCTGGACATTGGACTTTGACCAGAACCGCGACCCTTCGTCAATGGACTCGAGAAAGTGCTCGCTTTGCTTGAATCCTTCGAGCCACCGCGGAGTATAGGGCTTCTTACGACGGCGCTCAGTAAGGACAATCTGGAGAATGGGTTAGTCAGTGGTGCACCAAGTCGAGAACAGCAACCAAGCGCTGGTGTTGTTCAAAGACCACTCACATCTTGCATGGACAGGATAGAGGCAATCGTGATCAGCTCGCTGGCTTCGTCAACACTGAGATCTGCTCTGGACAGCAGTTGGCTCAGGCGGTTCTCGGCCAGGGCAAATCGATGATTGATCCGCCTACTTATCTCCTCCATTGGCTGGTAGTCATACACGTATATGCCGGCCAGGCTTTGTATCGCGCACAACACTCCCTCGCTCCCCTCCTGGGCAGCAAAGTCTTGCAGCCACAGGTTTGTTTTGCCCAGAATACTCCGGCCGGGACACCAATTGCCGATATCTGTGTCCCCAAGCCAAAAGTCAGGATGCGCACTCTAACTAGCTAGGTTGGGCAATGATGTATGTGTGACATGGTAATGGGAAGAGCAGGAGAGATGTGTAATGTTTGGTGGGTGTTTGGGAAGTTTCGAACGTACAGAATGACCAAAGCTTTCTATCCATTTTGTCCATCTGGGATACCAGCCCGAAATGCCGTGGTAGCATTCGTGGAGAATTCATGGATGAATGGCTACTACCCCAGCCATGGCTCCATGGACGAGGATAGGGGGATGAAGAGTAGCCTGACATTGCCGGGGGTGATGTGGTGTCCGAAAAGGACCACGAGCGCTCAGATCTCTTCAGCGGGTTGGGCCATCTCGCAGTGATCTGCTGGGACGTTTGTGTCGTGCAATCATGCAATTGGCGGCTGGAAGTTCCCAATGCCGAGGATGACTGCGATGACGGTCTAACAATCTCCTCTACTTCGTCATCTTCGCCGGCATCGCCGGGTTTCGCGACGGCTGACACGGAAGAAGACCGACTACCCTGCGGTCTCCGCGTCGGCCAGTTGAATTTGATATATGAGTTGACTCTGCCATCCGTAGGGCGAGGGAATCGGGGGGATGCTTGCCTGCCGAAGGTCGCTAGACAGTCCTTGAACGGACTGACGAATCCATGCGATCCGGGCTGAGGCTGAGACTGAAGCTCGTGGCGGCGGTGCTTGAGTTCAGCATCAGACGGCAGGACTTGGTCGGGATTTGTGGCTGAGACCCGGTCCGCCTCAGGTGAATGGGGTTGTTGTTCAGGCGAGACTGAATGGCTCAAAGAGTTGTGATCTAACGGGGTGAGATCAAATTCAGTAGCCAGCGGTACTGGTTTCACCGTTAGTCGTCCCTTCTTATGTCAAAGCATGAAAACATGTTCCGGTCCTCCAAGCGAGCTGTGGCTTGGTCGCAGAGTTCGCAAGGGTGAATGGTTCTCAGTACAAGCACGGAGAGGGCATAGAATGAGTTGATGCTCACGTCGTACGACTGGGTAGGGTAAAGAAGAACGTGGAAGGATAAAGGAATGGCAGGAAAGCGTAACCCTGTCTGAGCTAATGTGCCCTTTGAGGGGAGGGAAGTGATACGCGGAAGTATCGTTCCTTTTCTCCTTCGGTCGGACACAAATTTCCACGAAGAGGAAAGCGCCAGATGCAAAGAGACAACAGCAGGGTTACGCCTGTGCTCAGGCAAGTAAGACAGGGCAGTGTGAAAATCCAAGCTGGAGAGCATGTGACAGACGGTGCATGTAATGCGGCATTTGCCTGAAGTTCACTTACCTGTAGCGTCTAAAGACATCAGTGCCGACTCCATCGACGTTTCTACTGCCGCTGCCATTGTCTGCATTGCCTCGAGGGGTGGCCATGGCAGCGTCGATGATGAAGTGAGCGAGGACGTAGACGCGGTCGAGGCCGGAGACGAGGCCGGGTCGAAGCTCGCCTCTGGCCGGGATGGGTCAGGGCCGGGCGCGGCACGGCCCCCACGGCTGCGGACCCGGCGTCGGACCCGGCGGCTGCCACGAGGCGAGGGGACGACATGGACCCAGGTGTGAGCCACAGCCGCCGCCGCCGCTGCAGGGACGACGGGCGTGTTGGACGGCGCAGGCCGAATCAGCCGCTGCTGATGAGGGTGCGAATAGGAGACCGAGTGCGGATGCGAGGGCTGCGGGTGTGGCGCCAGCTTGATCCGCTTGGCCGGGCGCCCTTGATCCAGCGAGTCTCCCATCTGTGCGAGTCGAGTCAGGCGCTTAGCCGAAGCGAAAGAAGCCAGCGTCGCGTGGCAACGAGGATTCGGAGCGCCTCGATCGAGCAGATTCACGCCAGACTTGGCAACGGTGGGCTCACAGATGACGGGCAGCAACACGCGCACACATGCACACACGGGCCGGGGTGTGGGTGTCACTGAGCCAGGACAGGCGGCGGAGGAGCTGGCAGGTAGTGGACCATGCACGGGTTTGGAGCCGAGCCGAACGCCAATTATCGGCCGGTAGCGGTCTCTCGAGCAGACGACTCCCGGGTTATTTCAGCTGGCAGGATGAGCAGAAGCGGCTGTTTCATCCACGAGCTGGACCAGCCGAGTCAATGCAGAAGGACCCTTGGCCTCTAGCGATCAAGGATTCCCTACTGTCGTTGGCTTGCAGAGAGTGAGCAGGGTGACCTTCACAGCATGTTGCGCGTGTAAGTGGGTGAATCGTGTGTAAGATCGTGTGTGTGGGGGAGGGGGGGTCGAGGGGGGAATTTCTCGGTAAAAGTGCCTAGAGCTAAGACCTCCACAGTGAGGCATGCAGTGAGATTGGAGCATCCAAATAGCAGTGCTGGAAGGAAACTTGAGGCCTGATCATCGGCAGAGCATCTCAGGGCAGTGGGTTGTGGGAGGCAGGTCTGAGACGCTGTCTGCAGATATCAAGGTACGGCGGGTGCACCTAGCACTGGCCATTGGGTGGTATGTAGGTAGGACACGTACCAGGTGGTGTGAGTGTATTGTAGAAGCGGATTAAGTGCGTGCAGCAGTCCAGAGCCTCGACACAATTAATACACAGCCCGGACTGACTCGACAGTGCAATGCCTAGCGGTGAGACTAAGGCTCCAGAGATCAGATTCGATACGGCACTCGTACCAGCAGAGCGGTTCGTCCAATATGAGATGGGAGTATGTACCGAATTGGCCGAGGGGGTGGCGGGCTGGTGCTTGCTCGGCTTAGGGGTGGGTAGGGGTAAGAAGAGGAAAGAGAGAACAACGCGCGAGGGCACAGGAGAAATCTGCAGCGGCCAGCTTGGGCTCTGGATCCGAGCCAGCCGCGTTGATCTGGGGCCTGATCTGATCTGCCGATAGGAGGCAACAAGAGGAGAAAGCTTGGAGTGGCGAGGAGGAAAGAGAAGAGGGGAGAAGAGAGGAGAAGAGAGGAGAAAAGAGAGAACAAGGCAGCCGGGGTGGGAGAAGAAAGACAAGCAGAGAAGAAACCCTTTCCCCCTCACAGAGTCGCACAGATATTCTCTCTTTTCTCTCGTGAGGGGAGCACAGAGATAAAAAAAAAACAGGCCGACGTAGTAGGAGCTAGAATCCACTGGACAAGACACCAAGGCCCCGTGTCGGCATCGACGGGTACGAGAAGAGACTGGCACTTACCCACGAAGCTCCGCTTGGGAGAGAATAGCCGCATGAAAGGACCCAGAGGGATCCGGGGCTAAAGAACAGGTACTTGGTCGAGCAACGAGCAATTTGCAGAAGAGAAAAACGCCGTGTGAAGCGTCGCGATACTACTAGTAGTCATACGAGAGCGGGTGTTACTCGCACTCCGGGCAGGCGGTAGCAGTACTTTTTGTGGTTCCGGTTCGAGGGCAGAATCTCGAGTGTCGGGCCCCCGGGCAACGCGTGAACTCGTCGCTGATTCCTTTATGTATCCGAGAGAGAGGAGAGACAAAACAAGAAAGTTTGCAGGTCAAGAGGCGTTCGATCATTTCTTTTGATCGTTGACTCTGTTACGCCTAGATGCAAAAGCGTCTTCCCAAAGAGGGTGCCGTAGGCATGGGCATGACCGGGCCCTTGGAACTGGAGATGGCCATAATTTCTTTTGCTTGGGGGCCCATGTACTGTACAAAGCCCCGGTTTCTGCACCAACGTGATGCTTCCGGTTCCATGGCGTCCTCTGTAGCCTCACGATCGCGCTGCCCGACAAGGATGCTCGTGATCGGGGCCAGGGGGGCCTGCCTTCACCGAGTGGGGACGATGCATCGAGACTGCGCCTCTGAGAGGGGGGCCCTGGGAGAAGGGATTTGCTCGCCGCAGCTGGTGCTTCTGGAGGGCTCCAGATGATCGACGAGCAGCCAATCCAGCCGTGGCCGAACGCACATGGAGGCACGGCTCGCATACCGGTGTGCAGGGGTCGAGGCTTTCGCTGCGTTAGCGCGGCCAGCTCACGGCAGCTCTAATCTGCAATGTGCGAAGTACAGTCGCGGTAGAGTACCTACTCACTCGTAGGTAGCAGTAGTAGTAGTAGTATCCCTTATGTACTCGTAGCAGGTGCAGTTGAAGCCGTGTGATGCTGTGTGATGCTCTGTCGGAGCAAGGTTGCAATACGATGTAGTACGGAGTACAAGGTGTGAGGTGCCGGCGACGTTGTTGTCTCTTCTCTCGTCCGTCCTCGTCCTCGTGGCCTCAGCTGTCATGACCAATCAACAACCCGTATCCAGCGCGGGCCAGCCCTCTCCGGCGACGTGACTTGGCCGAAGTACCAGCCCAAGGCGTCCATCATTACTGCTTTGCCTTCTCCCCAGGCTCAAAAGGGGCGCCCGTCCGTCTGTGACGACGTGAAGCTCGCTCCTGTCGCACAGCCGTCCACGGCGTCTGGCATCCTGGGTCTTTCCTCTACTAGCCCCCTTTTGGCCTCTGCTGGCCCTGGTCTTATACAACTCTGTTCCCATCCCATTGCCGATTTCTTCATATTCGCCCTGTGTTGTCTGCTGTCCGGTGGCCTTGGTTCCAGTGCGGTTATATCGTTTCTTCTATCTTCTTCTCTCTTTCTTCTTTTCCTGTCTTCCTCTCTCTCTTCTCACTCACTCGCTGCGGAGTCGGGTGGGTAGCACAACCCCCAGTCGATTGGTCTCGCGATCCTTTGCCCGCCGCTCCCAAGGCAGGGTGGCCATCGCCGCGCCAATCATAGGCATATCAGCACCACACTGGCCACTAATCTCAGCCGAATCAAGACCCCTGGTCGCTCCCCGTCGCAAGCCCACCCCAAAACAAGAGAAACAAACATGGGAGATCCCATCGCCCCGTGATTATTCATCCTCCCCATTCCCCCATCTTGCGAGAGCCTCACCTGCTCAGTGGGACTGCTGGAGCGTTCACTAAAAAGAGCACGCACGACGGCCGTTTTGCCCACTTGGCCTGGACCTCAGAGACTCACAGCGGCTTTCCCTCCTCTTATTAGTTCACTTTTCTGCCTGAGCCGTCACAGGGTCACCACAAGACTGGCCGAGCTTTGCTGCTACTGCTGCTTCTCGTTCCGTCCCTCTGGTTGCGACCCACTGGACCAACCAAGGCAAGGCTGCTCCCAAGACTCAGCCATCTCCTGTCCCGTTTGAATCCCACTGCCAGTTGCTGCCCGTCGAGTGGTGCAGCTGCCAGTATTATACGGGCAGCACCGTTGGCGAGTGAAGTGAGTTCTCTTGCCAGCCGGAAGCGGGGCGATTTGGGAGCAACCGATCGGCTCAATCAATCGTCGTCAACGCTAGATTTGGGGATCGGGGAAGAGGAGTGGTTTCACCTCAGCCTCATGGCCTGATAGGGGAGGTTCCCGGGACGAGAGAGAAACAAGAAAAGAGAGAAACCCCGTCCCGGCCGCTAGACCGTCTGCTCCCGTCTCCAGAGTGCCGAGTATATCCCAGGCTAGAGCCGCCGCCGTTTCTTATCCAGACGCTGGAAAAGTCGTGTAATAGTGCCAGCTCACACTATGCCGCCGCCTAGAGCCACACATGTCTTCACCTTTGGACTCGCTGCGCCGCCTGTCAGTGAGGCATTGGAAAGACTGGTCTCAACACACCTTGAACACGCTGCACTTAGAGTCCAGGAAGCAACTGGCGTTTTCTCTCCTTCCTCAGACCCGTCGCCGTCAGAGTCATGTCCGGCCGCACAACAAGATGTCGCGGCGTTGGTGACCGAGATGGGAGACTACCTGGCCCGGACAGCAATGATATGGTCTTCTCTCATCCAGAGCCTCATACAAGGACCTCACATTGACCTCGTCACGCTTCAAATCTTACAAAAGTCCAAAGCAGACACCCGGGTTGCAGATCTCTCTGCGTCTGTCTCAATGGACGTCACCCTGAGCCGCCTTCGGTATGCACCATCTGTCCCCTTCCTCCTCTTCTTGGCCCTGTTTTTGTTCTTTTGTTCTTTTCGTCGGCCTAGAAGCTTTCATGCAGATTAAACTAACCAAATAATGGTCATGACGTGCAGCAAGATGCGCGATCTGGCGGAGCAGTACTCGCGGGATGTCCAGGCCGTCTGGAGGATTGGAGGCCACAGGAGGCCGAGTCCGTCCTGCCCACGGGCGTCTCCTGCGTCACACGACGGCCCCCCATCCGGCGCCCCATCGGTGACCTCACCGGTGACTTCTTCTGAACCTCAGACCGTGCCGGAAGTGCCTGACGCGCTCTCGCACGCACCCAAACGTCGCAAGCAACTTCCCGATGCTGCCGCAGGGCCCCGTGAACGACAGGTCTCGGCGCCACATCCACCGTTGCCGCCACTGCCGCTCTTGCCGCCGGCTTCCTCGCTCTTATTGCCGCCTATTCTATCGGACGGCGCAGAATGCGCGGGAGCGGCGCCGACCAACAACGCAGCGCCGAGACAGCCACCGCCTCCCGCAAAGCCACCACCCACAAAGGCCGCAGTGAGGAGGGAAACCGCGGCAAAGCCATTGTTGACTTCGACGCCCATGGTGACAATGCCAACGGCGGCAGCAGTATCGGCATCGGAAGCGACCTCTGAATCAGCAGCAACGCCGTCAGCGGCAGAATCACCAATATCCGTAGCGACGCCGGCATCAGACGCAACGCCAACTGCGGCAACCCCGATCGAGCAGGATGACTCGGACGACTATTCGGATGAAAACCAATTTGCGGGCATCAACATGAAGGCCCTGAAGCAACGAGGCAAGGGAAAATACTACTGCCCCAGGGGCCATCACTGCGACAAGGGCGGGGTCGACAAGCAGGGCAACCTGGTACTCTTCGACCGTAACTCATCTTTTGCGTATGTAGTCATCTTTCCCCATCCAGCGCGTGGCAACGAACTGTCCAGCTGTCTCCCGTTCCTTGCCCGTCTCCAGGTTCTCCCTACCCGTCTAACCTCTCACCCCTGGCGATTAAGGGAAGACAAGGCGAAAGGGGGGGGGGCGAAAAGGGCCCGCCGCCGAGGACGATTGGAAGAGGATGCGCGCCATGTGCTTTCTGCAAGCATATTTGCTAAAATTTATCATGCAGGCAACATTGCAACAAACATCGCAAGCCTTGGCGGTGTGACGTGCCTGGCTGTCCGAATCCTCCCAAGAAGCGCCGATTTGCGCGTCGTGACGGGCTGGAGCGCCACAAGGCCACAGTCAAGCATTACTTCATGACGTGAGTCAACGAACCGATCTTCTTCCTTGCGCCAATTGATCAGGCAAGGCTCATAAACGCCCGATGCATAGACAGGTATGAGTACGATGTCCCAGCACCAGGACAAGCCCTCGCTCCCACTTCCATGGAGGGAATCGAGTGGTAAGGGAACATCGGCCGAAGAAAGGAGAGAAGAGGGGGAAATGAACGTGCAGGGATTTGACGGCGGAACAGTTCACATGTGATGGGCAAGACGATTCGCTGCCTGTCTTCACTTTGGGCTTCGGAACGAAGCCAACCCGGCCGATCGGTCTCAGGGTGCGTCCCAACAACACCAACAAGGGCAACGACTTCCAGAGGATCAGGCCCGACAGCAAGAGCCCGGGCAGACAGCCGCCAAACGAGCAATCCGCTAGCCAAAGCGGAGTCGCAAACGAGTCGGTGAGGCTGGCCAAGATGCCGTCCCCACGCGCCAGCGGCTGTCCCCGAGTCCGCGCCTTGTCTAGTCTCAACGCCATCCAACTGGGTGGATCGGGCCATCACTGTCCGTTTCCTGGTACCCGATGTCACGGTACCCATCATCTCCCCCCGTACACGCTAACTTTGCCTTTTGCGCTACCAGAACCTGGTTTCCTTTGTTTGGCCTGAGAGAGGAGGGGAGGGTTAGCTTTCTTTGCTTTTTACTTCTCTTCTTTTTGGTGGCGCTCGATTCTTTGCTCTGTTGGTAAACAAGCGACGGGAAACGAAACTCGCTCTGAGTGGCTAGAATATACGAGGATATGATGACGACGAATACGGTGTCAGACAAGCAGACAGAACTATTGGGGCTAATAACACACGGGCAAAGAAAAAAGCAAAGAAAGGGCAAGATAGCGTGCGTTTGATTTAATTCGAGGGGCGGCACATACCCATGCCCATGTTTCCAACATCCCAGAGAGCTGAACTCTGGGATCTGCCATGACCGCTGACTGTGGGTCATTATGTATTCCGAAAGAAAAGGTTGATTCGATTCCCTTTAATGATCCGCGGATGATATCCTTGCCATCGCTTTTTTTCGGCCTTGGACCTGAAGATGCAGTTGAGGCAGATTTTTCTTCGGACCCGAACTGTGCCCCTGCTCGGCCTTTTGGGGCGTTGGTCATCCAAGGTGTGGTTGAACTGGGCGGAGCGCTTCAGTTGTTCCAGGAATTTCTTGGCGGGATAATCTCTCGTCCATTGGGCTTCAATGTCCATGGTGCCTGAAGGACTGATGTCAGCTCTGCCCGCCTCGCTTCCCAGTGCTGGCTTCCAGGTAATGCACCCTGCACATCTTGAGCAGGCTTCTCCTCTGCTCTTACCCTCATACGGAGAGAGCATCCTCCGAGTGGAAACGAGGGAACAAAAAGGAAAAAAAAAAAAAGAAAGCAAAAAAAGCAAGCATTGTGTAATAGATAGAGTGTCGGACGCCAGGCTGTATGCAAACGTATCCCAACGTGCATCCCACCTCGTGCCCAATCTCGCCATGTAGGCTTCGTTCGACCCCCAAGTCCGTCCGTCCGTCTCATTCATGTCCTCTCGGAGGCAAAGCGCCGAAAGGACGACTACTGCAAAGCTGTCCACCCCCTCTTCTGCTCGTTCTTGGGGCCAAGGTGCGACCAGAATCCAATGTCACCGCAGGCGCCCACTTCCGTGTCGATTTCAACGCCTCTTAATCTAGTTCGGCGGTTGCGAAAATATGAGCAAGGTCACGCGGTGCTGCACGTTGCGCTCTGCATGAATCCTTGGGTTTGGCAACGGACCTTTCCCTTGACCGGTCCATCTAGAAGTTGCTGACCGGTGAATGGCGCCAGCCCTATCCAGCAAATGGGAGCAGCAGTATCCGCCACCGGACGCATATGGTGCATGCGCAATGACAACAGGCCCTGCGAGCTGGGTGGATCTCGTGCAAATGTGCGAGCGCGTGCGTGATGTACAGGTACGGAGACGGATAGTCGAGCCTCTCGATACTCCATCTCAGGCCGAATGCGCTTTGCCCAGGGCCTCGATACCCGTCGGAGTCAACACAAGCCGGCAGATGGCGTGGGGGGAGCATGGTCAAACTCTCGGACTTTGGCCCACCAAAGTCCTCCACCTCAGAATGTGATTCATGAGACGTAGGCTTTTCCGAAGAGCTGAAGGTTTCCTAGTAAAGCAAGCGCCCCATGACCAGCTCCGAGAATCCAAAGTCTAATAGTAGGTAGTACAGAGTACTCCCTGGCAAAATCAGAATCACCATGACTGGCAGTCCTCTGCATTCCCTCCGAGCTTCAGCTGTCAGAACGAGTGGTCACCGTTTGGGAGCAGATTTGTGACCACCCTCCGAATCTCATGTGCTTCTACCGTTGGAAGCAAGTAAAGAGAACTTCCCATTCTGACTGGCCCAGGCCCGAAGGAATAAGCCAAGATGCGAGAAGAGCGAGTTGACCGAGAACCTCGTTGTTGCCCTGCTTAACCCGACGCAGCGTATTGGACGCGAAGGATGCGAAACCAGGACATATTGGCCGCCATTCTCTTCCAGTGGCATCGAGAGAAAGAACCATCCGACTGCGAGAGTGAGTAAAAGTTTGACAGTGATCAGAACGGCGGCCGGTGTGAATTGGATATTGCATCGGAGGATGTGTTGGCTTCCGACTCCAGCTACTGTAGTGGCGTTCTCTCATTGCTCCAGAGTCTCGACTGTCCAAGCGACCGCTTATTAGTTGCAAATAAACAGCTAATGATTAATCGAACATAGTACAGCAGCACAGCATGCCACCACAGAGCATCGGTCGACGCCTATCGAAACCCACGACCATGTGGAGAGACAGGACGGAGGGTTCAGCCACAGAGAAATGAGCAGCGATGCGGGAAGAGAGGGAAGAAAGCCGGAAGAAGAGCCAAACAGGCGATAGAAAACTGGCGGAGAAAGCCGCGGAGAGGAGCATCTTGCTCCACGAGACGACACCGAGACTTCGAGGCCGGGAGTCGTTTCTATGGCGTTTCGACAATGAGCAAGCCTGCACAGGCAGACAGATGCTCGCACCGAGGCTCGCCAACCGAACGCACGGGGTCAGCATCGACCATCTGCAGGCGACATGCCACATCCAGTGTGTCGGGACTTTTTGACGAGAAAACATGGCGTCATGCTGCAGGCTGAGATCGAAACGCCGGCACTAAGAACTAAAGAGGCACCAGTCGAAGTCGAGAGCGAATTGTCGAGAGTCTGGATGCTTCTTCTTGCCATTGGAGCACTTCGACTCGAATTGGGATAACCTCAGGTGTAGGGCGCAATTCTTCGCTGCGGATTCTGCAGCGAATCCACTTGTCTTGGTCGAAACCCCCAGACGAAGTTGTCGCCTCGATATTACCACACCTCCATGCCTCCTCTGAGACGGGTCTCGAAACCTAAACTGCTCGGTTTTGGCAAACCGCCATCTCGAAGCGTGCTAGCCGGCTGGCTGTGCGCGTTCGAGTACAGTACTTGTCACATACGGGTACAAGGCCAACTTCGTGAGATGATCGTGGCACGTGGCTCTTCAACGGTGCGGGCCTAGAGCGCCGGTAACGACCCTTGGGAAGCCCAGAGCGAAACCGTGAGGAATTGTATCGCCCTGGCGCCGTGATGGCTGTTGCCATCGTCTCTTGGTCAGAGTCCATCGCACGAGCATTGCCTTGGTACGACTTGGAGGGCATGTCTGGCACTGCACAGCGGCCTGCATAACACAACCAGTCAGCCATGATGTTGGATGGATGCAGCCAGTCCGACGGCGTTTCTGCATTGACAGGCGAAAGAGGGAGCTAGGGAGCAGCTCAACACTAGCGAGTGGCGCTCTTTGGCCAGCTTTCGCCATGGTCTGCTGCGTCTTCAGGCACAGCGGCCAACATGAGCTTCGCGACAACCGCGGGTAGGATGCATGGCCGTGCCAATTCTCCCCTGCTGCTTCTTGCTGATGATGGAGGGGCATCGGCTTTGGAGAGCCACATCATGGTCCCCACGCCTCTTGTCGGCTGCGCAGGAAGACGGCAGAGGACAGCACACGTCGCACATACAGTACGAAAACACCACGGCCCTCGACCTGCAGCTGCAGCCAGCACGTACCTGTTGGTTGATGGAATTCCAGCCATCTGCTAGGCCAGGCCAGGCCAGGCCATGCCATGCCATGCCATGCCGGACCATCCCATACATGCAGTTGCAGGCACACGCACCCGGAGCAAGCCATACCCTGCCGGCCTGCTACACTAAGCCGTACCCGCAGTGCGGTGGCGGTACGAATATGCATGCCACAGGTGGAGCTTCAAGGCAAACAAAAGCGAGCGGATAGCGACAGGCCCCTGGAGGAGGGGACGCTGGCTCGAAGTACGGGGCCGATGCTTTGCGGCTAGCATTAGGGCGATCGTCGGGGACGGGCAAAGGAGACAACAGGGAGCGAAAAGAGAGAGAGATTGAGGGCGTGGGGAGAAGATCGGAGGGGCGAGTCGAGGGGCGGCGGAGAGGAGAGAGAGAACATGGAGCTGTGAGGTTGGCGTTCATGCTGTCTGAGGTGACACCAGAGCGGTGACTTCAAGTTCGTGTTGGTTGAGGTTCAATGGCGGTGCGACTGGATGCCTGAGGGATCAACCCAGCTGCGACAGGTGCGAGCGATAATCGATAAGAGACCGCAACAGCCAGCACCTCGGTCAAAAGAAACATGAAGGCATCGATTGTCTTGAGAGAAAAGAAGACTGGAAAGAAATAAAAGAAAAGAGACAAAAAAATTGCGACTGGGATTAGCACCAATTGGGATGGAGATGCGTCATGGGGCCAGAAAGACGAGGAGCAGAACAGGGAATTGTTACTGCGTACGTACATGTACGAGTAGGCGGAGCGGAATAGACGTGGATATCAAATGCAAAGAACCTTTATGTTTCCTCCATGGATGCCACTACGGCACATGCAGACAAAAGGCAGATGTGCCGTAGGATGGATGTTTGTATGGAAATGGAAGACACCGGATGCAGTAATTGGGGGATCCGGCTCCAGGGC